GTTGGGGGTGGAGAACTCTACATTTCCGGGTAGGAACACCAACAGCAACCCAGGGAAGCAGGAAGGGAAGTAGGCTTGGGGCCCCCAGTACTTTACTCCTGCACACACCCCATGGCTAGGACAGCTGGTCACCCAGTGCTGAGCAGACGTCTGCTCCCAGCTCACGTCAGGGCAGATGGGGTTGGCAGGCACCACCACAGGGCTCTGACGGAGTCCTCACAGCCAGGGGATGCGCCAGGCCTGGCTGGGCTTCATGCAGGTGGCAGTAAGAGTAGAGAGACCTGAGCTTCTGGACACTTCTAGGCCCTGCAATATTGAGAGGTTGGCACCTTCTTCTGGGTGGTGGTGGTGGTAGGGTTAGCCCTGCTTCCTCGGTCCCCCTGCTGTCTGTACTCTCGTGGTCTCAGTTAGAGATACTTGCAGGAGGCCTAGACTCAGGAGGTCAAAGGCAAGTTGGGCCAACCATGTGCCATGGCAACAGAGTCTTCCCCACCCCACCTCTTGTCTCAAACCTGCCACCTGGATTCCTGTGTCAGGACAGAGGATGTGTGTGAGCCCGTGGCCTGGGCCTTGACACCCAAGGGGGTCACACTGGAACTGCTCTCTGTGGCCAGCCTCAGCCCTGCTCCCATGGGTCACCCAGGTCTGTGAAGATCGCACCGCTGGGAAGGCAAAATGCAAGTAAAATCGAGACTCCCCTCTCCCCATCAATCAAAGGGCTCTGTGGAGGCAGCCAGACACACAATGTCATACCTCTCCTCCAGGTTCTCCTTTCTGAGCCATGAGCTGATGCCAGCAAGACCTTCCTAAGCCCAAGACAGGCTCCACAGTCTGGCATCCAGGCCAGAAGTCAGGGCCTTTATTTATTCTATGAATGCTTATTGAGAGTCCACTATGTGTCAAGCACTGTTCTACCTGTGGGGATGATATGAATGTTCAAAAGAAACAAAGATCCCTGTCTTCGAGGAGCTTGTGTTCTACCAAGAGGGGAGACAAACAATACACATCCTCAGTAAGTGAATTACATAATATGGTCAGAGGTGTTAATGCTCTGAAAACCTGTGTAGGCAGGTAAGGGGGTCAGGACAGCTGGGGGGACAGATTGCAGTATTAAAGGCAGACCTCACTGGGAGGGAGACAGGGAACAAAGACCTGAATAAAGGGTGGGGCCAGCTACGTGGACACTAAAGAAGGGCGTTCTTGGCAGAGGGAAGAGCCATGCAAAGGCTCTAAGGGCATGCCTGGTGTTCAAGGAGGCCAATGCGGCTGGGACACAGCAGATGAGAGAGAGCGGGGAGACAGCAGGTCAGAATATCCAGACCATCCAGAGCCGTCTGAGTCTGCTATATGCATTGGCTTCTACTCTGAGTGAGCTGGGAAGCCATTGGAAAGTTCTGAGCAGAGGACAGATCTAAGTTCTGAAAGGATTACTCTAGCTGTTGCGTTGCAAATGGGTTGAAGGGAGCAAGGTAGCACCTGGGGGCCACGTAGGAGGCCCCTGCAGTAACTCCAGAAGAGAGGACAGTGGCTGAGGCTGGGGCAGTAGCATGGGGGTGGTGACATGTGGACAGGTTCTAGCTGTGCTTGGTTGGGATTCACTGATAGAGTGGGTGTGGGGCCAAGAGAAAGAGTTGTCAAGAATGACTCCAAGGCTTTGGACTGAGCAACGGGAAGGATGGAATTGCTGTTTCCTGAAACTATGAAGGCCAAGGGTAGAGCCTGTTTCAGGGGAAGATTAGGAGCAGGAGGTGGATACTTAGGTTGGAGCTTGGTAGAATCTGAGCACAGATGTCAAGTAGGCAGCCAGAGAAGAGCTAGAGCCCCCCTCCTTCTTTGCTGAGACTCAGGAATTCACTAAACCAAACCAAAGTCTTGCTGTCAGGTGGCAGAAAGAAAGGGGGACCCACGGCAGAGGCTGTGGTGTCTGAAGGGAGGTGACCAGTTACCTTCAAGAGGGCCGGGAGATCAGAAAAGGAGAGAAAAATAGATGGCGCCACCCAGTGTGAGTTGAGACTTCATGTAGTGGCCAACCCAAAATGTCCTGTGGGGTACGCTGATCTAGAATGATCTAGAATGCCCACGAAAGTCTTCCCTACTGTGCAAAACCAGGAAGGTGCCATCTAGAGCTCAGCAAGAGAGTTCTTGCTGCCCTGAGAGCCCTATCGGGCATGTTCCCCAATTCTACCTCCACAAAACGCTAAGTCAGAGGCATCCATTTCTAGAAGGGACTTGCCCAAGGCCACTGAGTCCATACACAGTGCTGGAGTCAAAGCTGGGTCTGTGGCCAGGTCCAGGACCTTCCCATGGCCAAGGCTCCTCTGAGAGCAGCGTCCGACTCCTGGTCAGGGCCTGGTGACGCTCTGTTCCTTGACAGCTAAAGATGCTGCTCTAGATCACCTCCTTTAATGTCAAGGTTCCCCTCAAGGTGTCCTCGAGGAGGTGAAGAGCTAACGAGGGCCTGCACATGAGGGGCTCGGCCCCATGCCCAGCACGGCGGTGGGGGGAGGGGGGACACGCTCGGTCAGTGACAGCCGGCCCCAGAGCCGTCCAAGCAGCAGTCACTTCTTTTCCTTATTTTAGGGATTAAAGAAAAAGCTGTAAAAGTGAACGAGTTATGGAAATAAAGGAGAACAGCCCCCTCACTCTGCATGACCCACTTACTCTACTTAATATTCAGGGTGCACAGAGATTGGTTTCTCCGGCTGGATTATTTCTTTAGGATAAGTTCCCTGGGGTAGCATTACTGCGCGAGAGGTCAGAACCCTTTTATGGGTCTTCATAACTGTTGCCATATTGCTTTCCAGAAAAGATTGTCACCATTTACTTTTTACCCAAGACTCTTTTTTTTTTTTTTCTTACAATCTACTTCGCTTTTTCTTTACTGATTCAGTAGGTAGGAGATAATGAATTTAAATTCCCTCGAATGTAATTGTTATAAATGTTCGCTTTTTCTTTTTAGCATTTACTTGTTTAATTTGCTTCAGTGAGAAGTGTCTATTCATAGGCTTTGCACACTCATCATTGGGTCTGTAATCAACAAACATGAGCTGATCACTGACACGGTCAGGTGCCTGGGAACACCTCGTTTGCATGAACTGTTTCAGGCCATAGCAATGAACTTCTTTATGATCACATCTAATTTCCCCCGAGTCTGCCTGCCTACTCAATATTTCCATTTGTACTGTTATACATTAAGTTTTTAAAATGTATACTATCAGATTTGCATCATGTGAATCCTACGTTATTTTTTTCTGTCAGAGGTTTTAAAGTTTAGAAAGTTACAACCCCATGATCTAATCCATAGTTAATTCTATTTAATATTTAATTCTCTTATTCTACTTTTGAAAGTCTTTAATCCACTGTTTCTGGATTAAAGAATATTCTACCAGACACTTATGTAGAATGTGACATGCAAAACAAAACAAAAACCCCACCCCAAACAAACAAAAAACTCATTTCAAATAGATATGGGAAAGCCCACCTCAGCAAAGTTAATTAAGCTTCTTTCCTGGAGGGTCCCTCAGAGACTTTTACCATGCCAATAAGTCTTGCAGATCTCCAAGGTTTGGGAGGACCAGCATTATTCCTATAAAGCATTTCTCAAACTTTGCGCCTATGGAGCTCCTCATTCGCAGAGCTCCTCATTCGCAAAGCCCTTCTTGGAGCTAGTTTTCCCTTGCCACGCTTTGGAAAATGTTGCTTTAACACAACTTCAAATCAGAACATCAAAACAAAACTATAAGCTCCAATATGGTAATGAGGACTTTTGTCTATTTCACCCCTGCTATATTCCCAGCAAACCATAGACGCTCAGTAAATATTAGTTAAGTAAATAAATGAGTGTATGTACAAATAAAACAAATCGAACCCAGTGCACAACACCGAGATATGTTCTGAGACGCAGGGAGGGGCAGGGACTTTGTGTGGTTCACTGCTGCATCCCTAGGAGCTGGAATATGTCTAGGGTATGGTGCGTGTTCAACAAATACTTGAACAGATGAATAAATAAAGGAATGAATCACTTGCCCAACTGAGCTCCTGACTTCAGTCCCTAACACCCTTCCTTTTATGGAAGAGAAAGACTATCTCACCTGGGTAAGAGTACATGACCCTAGGCAGCTCGGGAGGCAGTTCCAGGAGCCAGCAGGTAAGTGCAGAGGCCCAGGGCCTCAGAAATACCCCTCAGGGGAGGCTCATCCCAGCGTCAGAAGTCCAGCTACATCCAGCCTGGTGACGTCAGGCATCCCAACACAGGGAAGTTGAGGACCAGACTTCCTTGGCACTGTCCAGACTAGCCAAGCGAGACTCTGCATCCTTCCTGTAAGGGGAAGCCAGACTGGAATTGGGTCAGAGCCTGCCACGGTTCTGTCCTCCGAATGGCTCTGCAGGCAGAGCCTTGCAGCCTAAGACACTGAGTTGACTTGAGCCTTTGGGGGCAGGGGAGGCCTCTTAGGATCACAAATGGCTCTCCATCTGGATAAGCACACCTTCCGTGTTCGCTGCCATTCTGAAACCAACGTCTGGTCCTCTTACCTTTCACCTCCCACTCAGCTGGACCAGCATAAGGCCTGTGAGAGCAACCTTTGTTATGGAGGAACCTAAGTTAGTGAACGGTTCCTAAGGAAAGCTCTCCGACAGGTCCACGGTTTGGGTGGGGGTCGGGGGGGGAATGAGAACAGGAGCTGTTAGGACAGTCTGTTTCTCACAGCTCAGGTGACACTGACCCTCACCCAACTTTGCCCAGAATCTACACAGAAAAAGTACCATGAGTTTTCAAGAAAGAGACCCCAAAGCCTGGCCCAGGAGCATCGGTGACCTTTTCCAAATATTACCCCTGGGTAATATTTCCTTTCAGAGGTGCCCAGCACAGCCCCAGAGCGTCCCATGTCACCACGAGTGCAGGCCCCACCAGCAGTTTAGGGAAGACTGTTCCCCTAAACCAGCCCCCGTGTCTGAGGTTGGAGCAGCTTCCATGGCAAAGAAGAGAGGAAACAATGCGCTTTATAAAGAACCATATTTATTTTCATTTACAGCATCAAATACCATAAATAAAGCTAAACATCGTTTGCTGTGTGCAAAATACAGGGTCCCGTGTGGCACTGTAAAGGACTATTAGAGGTCGCAGACATGCGTTGCGAGGAGATGGGTGGGGTGGGGGCTAGCTCAAGAGAAGGCTGAGAAGGAAGGAGGGCCCTCTCTGGTTGACATTCTATAAAGGGAGGGAGACGCTGCAAGAGAAGACAAGACAAGAGCGATGACTTCGTACTGGCTAGACTCTGCACCAGTGCCGTGAGCAATGCAGCATGCAGGGCTGTGCAGACAGGCCGAGAGGTCAGCGTGGCTCTGGGCCACATGCAGGACAGACGCCACCTTCCGCCTGAGACCCCGAGGCCCGGCGCCCAGCAGCTCCACCGGCCTCGGCACGGCGCCCCTCTCTCTAAAAGCACTTTGAACGTCTTGCTGCTCTAAGTAATGAGTCAGCGGGCACATGTCGTCTGAGCAGAGCCACGGGGGCATGGACACCAGGCCCGGGCTGAGCAGAGTCATGTCTCACAGCCACCGCTGGCCTGGGACAATGATTGCTCCGGTGGAAGCTTCTGCATCATCTGGGGCGTTATGAGCCAAGAACAGTAAGAAGAGCCACAGCAAAGCCCTTGTGTCTAAGGTAAAGGCTGTGGTAGAGAAAGGATTTGCCAGGAACCTTGTGATTGTGTGTTCAAAATACAAAGCATGGGTCAAGCCTCTGATGAAGGCTGGGAGCACGGTTTCTTTTTCAACCCTTCCTGAAAGAGTCACCCATGGTTTTGATCGATAATCTTTATACTAGAATCAATTTAAGAACGCTTTGTTTGCATGTACTTTTTCAGCGGCTACCAGATCAAAGTTCTTTTCCAAGGTGACAGAGCCCTCTCTAGTCTGCCATCTCACAGCTGGGGGAAGCGTCCCAGGAAGGGAAGTGGTTTCGCGAGGGGAAAGGTATGCATGCAGGCCGCAAGGGGAGCCGCGGGGAGGCGGGGCATGCAGCCGGTGTAGACCTGGCGGCCGGCTCAGAGGTAAGTAGAGTCAAACATGGCTTTCGAGCGGAACACCACCCCACGTTGCTAAACCCCCATGCCATGGAATGAGTCTGTTAGTACGCAAGATGCTCGCAGTTAGCACAACCGGGACCGCGCTGGGGAGGACGGGGCACGGAGAGCACGTTAGGCGTTAGTACCTCTCTCTGAAAATTGGCAAGAAAACCAGTCACCTCCGAGCAGAAGTGCGTCAGCCAAGAAGTGGGTGTAGCACTGGAAGGCTGAAATGAACTGGTAGCCACAGTGTAAGGTTGGAAAGAGAGAGACAGAAAGGAGAATTTAGTTCGGGGCCAGGGCGGGGGTGGGGGGGCAGGAAAAAAGACTGATAACACAAAAGGCACGGGAATTGAAGATGAGGCCACCATTGATAAAAGGGAAACTTCCCCGGACAAATCATTGCTTGCTTGGGACAGATGAACCTTGCTGGTAGTGACCGCCTACTCATCTGCAAGAGTGGATGCGTGTAGCTGGCCTAGGCCAACGCTCTTCCCTCAGAGCGACACGCGTCCTCAGGACCCCCTGCCCACCCACCCCGCTGATATCTCTTTTCCCCTGTTTTACTCCCGTGTCCCACACTCATTCTTGAATATGCTGTGGAGGCCAAGAGGTGTCTGCCTCCTGGGATCCACCATGCGTTTCGGTTCTGACCACCAGGAAGGTTCACAGCCTCAGAACATACAAACATCTCAGGCTTCTGACAGGCACACCCTGTCTCCCCAGAATAATTCAAACCAGTCTCTTTATGGCCATAAATGACATTCTCCGAGAGTCTAACTCTGGCTTCATGGAGCACTCCACAAAGCGTCTCAGCCCACCCTGAGCTGAAGACAGGAGCAGTGACATGGCTGTGCATGCGTTCACGTCATGACCTCAAAATTTCCTTTTAGAATCAAACATAGCATGAATCCAGGGCTCCTCCCACCATGCTGAATATTAAAATTGCAGCAAAAATTTGGAAAAACCCAGCGCAAGTCAACAGACTGAGAACGGTTCCAACGAGGACAGAGGTGCCAGTTCCCACGGGCTGGGCCACAGCCAGGCCCCTGCTTTCTCCAAGGACTTCAAGGAAGGGTTTGTAGAAATGCCTCTCCCCTTCGTCCTGCCCTATAGAAACTTGTCATCTCCACGCTCTCGAGCACCCTGGCTCCTAACGCACCCCGGGTTCCATCCTTCCTTAATCTAGAGGAGATCTCTAGGGTCACAAGTGCACACAGCCATCTCCAGCCTGGTGACTCTCGATATCCTGAGCATGTTGGAAGGCCTCTGCCTTGTTCAAGCAGACCCAGCAGCGGCACTCGTCCGGGCAGAGCAGGGTGCGGGGAGCGGAGGCCTCCCCAGGAAGCCCAGAGTGAAGAACACAGGTAGGCCCAAGGCCTGTTTTTGCCCTTAATAGGGCATATTTCTTTTGTATCAGTCAACAAACAGCTTCCACTCCCTGCCTCCCCTGCCAGTCAAGACACAGGAGGTCAGACACATTCCTTTGCTAGGACAGCGAGAAAACAAATGGTTTCTGGCTGCTCTGACCAAATATGCATGGCAGCCGAGGGGCTAAGCAGCCAGGATGTCTGTAAGCAGGGCTCCTCGGGCAGGTCACGCTTCCCAGAAATCCTATACCCTGAGGTGCTAACAAACGGCCTCAGTCCCATAGCAGGTGATACGAGAGGGCAGATTCTTCCCTCAGCCTGACCGTTATGGACCCTGAGTGGCCTTGGCTCAGTCTGCAGCCTGGGCTGAGGACCAGATCGGGGGCCCCAGGCGGGGGGGGCGGGGCAGGGGGGCAGAGCTCCTCTCCTGCAATGCACCAGTTCGCCAGAGCTCCGCTCGGCCAGGGGCCACGGGGCCTTGCAGGCACTGCTTGTTCATGGGAAGGGACAGTGTATGTTTGTAGCAATCTGCAGGAAACCCCACGGTCATTTGGCTGGTGATGAGGGGAAAAACCTTTAAGCTACTAATTTTACATCTAAACAAGGGTGCAAAACAGGCCCCCTCCCTGTGGGAGGGCAGATCACAGCCAACTACATACTGCCGTGTGTCTCCATGTGGTTTAATTCTACTCTGATCTACTCTTTTCTTCTAAACTGCTGAGTCTTTCGTGGTGCCAAAACGCTGTCCCCTGTGGACAAGTGGCATCAGGGTACATACAGCAAAAGGCACTGGTCAGGAGGTGGCACACTCGCTTCTGTTTCTATAAAAAGCCCAAATCATTAGTGTCGCGGGCAGCGACCATGACCATGGACCGCACTGTGGAAGGGATTCGTGACACCAGTTACAAACTTCAAACCGTGTTTACAAAAAATGACACTCGTAGGGAAAAAAAATGCTTTCTCTTGGCTTATTAAAAGTTTCAAAAATTGAAATGTAAACCTAGAACTATGGCTCACTTTGGTATAAAAGAAGTACAAAGCTATAAAAAACATCCTTCATGTCGTCTGGCTCCGGCACCAGGAGCAGATGTCCACCCTGACGGAGTCAGGCGCGGGTGGCCAGTGTGCAACTCTTTGGCTTTGAGCGAATTGGCTAGAGAACGCTAGGCTTCCCGGCCAGAGCCTTGGCTAACTGCCAACACGCTTCCGTCTAAACTGGAAATGTGAGGGCGCTGTGGGGTGGTTGGCATTTCAGTGGAGCTTCACCGGGAAGCATCTGAGCACCCAGTTGCGGATGGTCTCCAAGGACTCCTCAGACTCCCGGTACATGGAAGCCAGGACCTCAGAGAACACCCAGAGGAGCGGCAGCCCGAGGCTCAGGAGCTCATACGTATAGCAGTAGTTATAAGCATTGTCCCTGAAATGAAGGCCGGCTGCTCGCAGGAGTCCCCGAATCCAGTTAAGCAGGCTCCGGGGAACGTGAAGCAGGCCCCCCGGCAGCACGAGGGGCCAGCTTAGTGCCTTCCTAAAGAAGGAATTGGTGATACCTGGAGGGCTGCCTTCGGGGGCACCAACAGCAGCAGCCGCGCAAGAACTTTCCACGGGAGCGTCCCGCCGAGGGGCCTCCGGCTCTTTCCACGGTCCCGCCTCCTGAGAGAGGGAGCAGAGGGAGGGCACTTAGTCCATGATTCTCACAGAGCGCCCCTCCGAGGAAGCCGACGGAGAGAGCCAACGCAGACGGACCGCGGCAGACCCTGCGTTTTGCAACCAGCACCCCCCCCCCAATAATAGCCCCCGTGCACTGCTGAAGGGGGACTGAATATGGGCATCGCTTTTCTGGGGCCAACGTGACCACAGGGTTCACAGGCCTTCAAAACACACGTCCTTAAACAACAACAACAACAACGCACGTATGTCCTTTGACTCAGAAATCCTATTTCTAATGATCTGTCCTCAGGAAATCATTTGAAACAGGCACCAAGATGTGCATACAAAGATGCTGGCTGTGAAAATAGTCGTAAGGTAAAAAGAGGACACAGCATAAACATTCAGCAACATGGGACTTGTTAAATAAATTATTAATCATCTTTTATGGGCATCAAAAATGATGCTCCACAAGAATTTTTAATGTTACGGGGAACGGTTCTTGGTATAGTGCAGGTAAATAAAAAGAAGGACAGGAAAGTGTAATGATTGGATTCCAACTAGGTTAAAAGACATTCACATAGGGCAATGTCACAAAATGTTAGTTATGGGTTTCTCACAATAGGGTGGTGATGATTTAACTTCCCTTCTTTACATACTTCATTTACCCATTTCTCTACATTAAGCCTCTATGACTCGTATAACCCGAAAAGAGCTGTATGGTGTGGGACCTTGCTGGAGGGGCTGGTTAATCAAGCGGCAGAGGAGGTGCGTGCTAAGAGCTGCCGGAAGGGACGCTATCACCAACCGTCCATACATTCAGCAGCCTGTCACTTTGTTGACATCCAAGAGACTGGGGAGGGGGGGAATGAGGGCAAGGTAGGCTCCCCAGGAGGCATCCCTGCATACAGCACTGTGGTCACGTGGGACCCAGGCGTGGCGGACGCCGTGGTTTCCACATGGCTGGGACTATAGGAAGGCCCTTCTCAGAAGAAGCGAGCACCACCGCTCTCCAGGCAGCCGGCCTCCAGAATGGGATAAACCTAGAGGCTGGCACGACAGGCTAAGGCAGAGAGACCCTCCACGCCGCACGCACAGTATGGACTCTCGGCTTTACCTGTGGGTCTCGGCCCCTCCAGGGCCGGAAATTCTGGCCTCACTTGGAGGGACATTTGAGAACGGTCTCCTACCCAGGGGCTGTCCCTGTTTCAACAGCACTTTCAGGAACAAAGCATACCTCTCTTTGTTGCTTCAACGCTGCTCGTCTCTTCCTTTGCTGGCTGTTGGTCTTACAGTGAATGAAATGAGGCTTGCAGAAAAACTTGCCTGTAAAGAGAAACATGTGCACACTTGCATGCATGGGTTTTCTCCTGTAAATTAGAGTCGCAGCAGATACAAGCCAGCGTCCGCCCCTGTTTAGGTCAGGGAATGCCAATACTGGGAGTAAGCCCAGGAGGCCTCAAACCTGCTTTCTGTCACCTGTCTTAAAGAAGCCACACTCCGATGAGGTGGCAGGACCATTTGCTGCCTCAGAGGCAGACGGTAGCAATGGGGGGCGAGGGGGGGGGATGCCGGGGATGGGGCTGAAGCCCTCGGATAATCCCTAAGCCAAATGGAGGCCAAGTCCCTTCCCGAGGCCAGCTGCCAGGCTGCAGGATGGACAGCACTGTTTCCAGTTCACAGTCGTTCCTGGGGCCCCTGGGGGTAGGAAAGGCTCAGAACAGATGGTAGCAGTGATGGGGAGGAAAAGACCCAGGTTAAGCCTGCCCTGGGTCCCTGGCCATGGCCCAGGACCACTGGGCACCTTCTGGAAAAGCCTTCTTCGTTCACTGTTACAACAGTAACCTCAAGAACAATGGTACAACTGGAAAAACTTATCCAGGACTCACAATAGAGCAGACACTACTCTGAATGCCTCCTGTGAATTAACTCACACGAACAACCTCACAACAACCTTACGAGCTAAGAACTATCATTATTCTCATTTTACAGATGACGTAACGGAGGGACCAAGAGGTTAGGTAACAGGCCCAAGGTTACGGGGCTCGTTAACGGTTCATTCCGGCAGGCTGCTTCTCAGAGGGGAGGTTGCTATTATGACCACTTTTGTAAGACACCCTTTGTAAATAAAAACATTAATACATCCTCATTTATCGAACCCTTGTTACAAGCCAGGTGTGGAACCACATGTGGTACTAGGTCGCCAGGTGTGATTTCCTCGCCCACACGGGGCCATGGAAGGTGGGGATGCTGGCGAGGACACGTATGTAAAGCATTCGGCACACAGTAGGTGCCGCTGCTGCTGGTATACAGCAGGCGCTCACCGCCTCCCCGGGCCTGCTGCAGGTGGCCTCTCTCTCCAGCAGGATCTCCCAGCTCCCAGAACAGCTCTCCCGGGGACGCCACAGTCCCTGGGAAGCGGTGGGGCGCCCCAGAGCCCCCCGAGGACAGAAGCCCGGACCGGAGACCCCGGCGCTGTCCCCGGCCGCTGGGAGTCACCTTCGTCGCTGTCGAAGGCGTAGGCGGCCAGGCGCAGGGTGGTGGCACAGACGCTGCAGCGGAAACACTCTCGGTGGAAGAAGTGGCCCTCTGCGCTCAGCCGCTCCATCACGTACACGCGCTTCTTGCAGAAGTGACAGGTGTCGCTGCCGCCCAGACTCAGGGGGAGCACCTTCCGCATGGATTCCTGGGGGGCACAGGGCGGCGGGAGAGAAGCGCCGCGCGTCAGGGCTGACCCCGCGTCTCGCGGTGCGAGGCCGAGACTCTTGGAAAATCCTGACCTCGATCATGGGGACCTCGTGGGCTCCTGTCTGCTGCCCGTGGCACCGCAGGCACAGCAGCTGAGACCAAGCGGTGGGACGATACGCCCCCAGCACAGACCCCAATGACCCCACCCCACACGGGCTCCCAGGCAGGCCAGCTGGCGACGGGGGAGGCCCAGGAGGGGCTCCTCCTGAGGCCGGCCGCTCCGGTTTGGGGGCGGGAGTGGCGTCTGTCTGTCTGACAGAGTGGGCATCCCTCACCAACATGCCTGCCCAGCGACGCTGGCCCCCTCCGGGCATCTGCCCACCTCTAGGGCGAGGTCCCCGAAAGAATGTTTTCCATGCCCCTGTCCCCCTGCAGTGACTTAGGCCAGGCAAGGAAAGCCTGTGGCAGCCAAACTGTTGAAGAGAACTGCAGGGAAGGGACAGGCTGTGTCCTCCAGCCCCCGGGGCTGCCAGGCAAATTCCTAAATGCAAGGGAGGAGGACGAGGGCAGGCAGCGGTGCGCTTGGGGGATTCTGGGGCTGCAGGGACATGTCAAAAGGAAAGCAAAAGAATTGTCCAGTCAAATGGCTGGTGACCGCAGCAGGCAGCCTTGTTTGGAGAAGGGAGGATTCAGAAGGAAGAGTATCTCTCTGTTACTGGATTCTCAGTCCAGTGCAAAAAGGCTACTTGGGCTGGATGCCAAATGCTGAGGGTAAGGGGTGGCCTGCCTGGCCTCTTCACTGAGCTCTCCAGACAGCAGGGGACAGGCTCTGCCTTGTGAAATGACCTATAGGGGAGCCGAGTGAGGTTTGTAGGTCAGAAAACGCAGCCCTCCCTCTAACCTCGGCACCGGTCTACCCCACTGTCACGCCTCCTGTCCACGAGAAGGGGGCCTCGCACGGACCAGGCCATCCTCCCTGGGAGACCAGAGTTGGTGTCTGCGGGTGAAGGCTGAGGGGTGTGCGTCCTTACCAGGTCTGGAGAGGTGGCCTGGGTCTTAGGTCTGTGATCATTCATGTACAGATTGACCAGGACTTCAGCTGCAGCCCCTATTCCGCTGGATACTTTCCCTACCGTCAGCTACCCAAGAGCAGAGGTAGAGGAGACAGAGACAAAGGTAGAGGCCAGTTAGCACTGAGAAGGAAAGCGCAAACAGGCTAGATGTGGGACAGGGTTCCACACCCACATGCAAACAACGCCCGACGTCCCAGGAGAGGCAAAACCAGCCTGGAGTGGGCAGCGGGCACTCTGGAGATGGAGAGAAGGACAGAAATGGAACCCTGGGCCCCGGGGTGAGCTAGGTAACTTGTAGAACTAGCTCCGTTGGCATGTAAGGCCTTCAGGATTCATCGAGTTTCCTGGTTCACAGATGGCGTAAATGAATCCCGGAGACAGGAAGGGAGCTATCCCAGGCCACTTAGCAAATATGTGCGAGATTCAGAGCTCTTCTCAGGTCTCCTGAGCCCCAGCCAGGTGCCCTCACACCCTAAGGAACCAGGACCTCACAGACAGACAGCTGAACGGCAGCCACCCTCCCATAGAGATCCCTCCTCTTTGGAGGGCTGTGAGATGCTGCTTCATCTGCTTCGTGAGAGGTACCCGCCCCCCTCTCCGCCCAGGACTGGGATGAAGGGTTGGACCCCAGCTCCACGATGAACCAGTTCTGAGACTGGGCACAAAACTCTCAACTTCTGAGCTCAGTTTCCTTGTTTAGTAGGATGGGGGAAATCGTGCCTGACGCATGGTTGTGTGGTAAGAACTGAGGGAAAGAATGGGTGTTCAAGTGCCTGGCGCTTGGCGGGGCTAGGCCAGGATGAGCTGGACTCCTCCCTCCCCGTCTCCCGAGTGCAGCCGGTCTCAGCCTGCCTTGCAGTCTCCACACTCCTGGGGTGCAATGGTGGTGTCTGACCTGAGTGCCCCCCAGACCTACAGAAGAAGTGACTAGAACGGGAGAGAGGAGGCAACAGGATGGTACTCCACCACGTGCTCCAGGCTGCAGTGCCCAGAGGCCCCAGGCTGATGCTGGCAAGTCAGCTCCGTGGGTGCCCTGGGCACCACTGCCTGGCAGGTCACAGGTGCCTATGCTCTGGAGGGCATGACGGCCACCGCCGACCTGTGAGTGCCCGGTTCCCCATCCATGTGTCTGGGAGCTGGGGCAGGGGTGGGGCTGACAGCCCACGCAGACATGGCACAATCACCCAGATGCCCCACAAATCCCACCTTGCTCCCCCTTTCCCACCAGCTATGAAAGCCACCCTGGGAACACTGCAGGCTCCTCTTCAGGGAGGCACATACCACAGGAAGGGATTCTGTAAGCAGCTTCTGGTCCCAGGATCCAGGAAGAAGGCAGGCTTCAGACCCTGCCCAGCCTCAGAATCTAGCTTCTGGGAGGTGCAGCCAGAGACAACAGTAGCATATAGGTGACGGGTGTGGGTAAAGGAACACCCTCAATCTAAACCCAGGACTGCTCCTGAGAGGCCACATCTAATCTGCTATGAAAGCCTCAGCTATAAAGCAGGAAGTTCGGGGGACGGCAAAGCGAATGGCAGCGGTCCCCCAGCTCCCGGCAGCAGAGCCCAGCCTCAGAAGCTGAGACCAGCCTCCTGGATTCCAGCAAGGGCACAGCTGCTGCAAGGTTGCTAGGCAGGCTGGGGAGAACGACAAGACCCAGGAGGCTTCTGCTCCCTTTCTCATTAAGAAAGCCCTCACACTCACAGCCACTTTGCGACAGTCCACCTGGACCACGTGCGGGGCTCTTGGGGACTGTAGCAGGCCATGGGCCTGCCAAGTAGGGGGTCTGAGCCCACGGCTCAGACAGAGGGGAGCCCCTCAGACTTTACAAAGCCTGTCCCTTCCCAGGAGCAGCGGCCCCGCCAGTTACCCCAGACCCACTTCACCTCCCGAGCTGGCCCAGCCTAGGAGAGATTAGCCTTCTGCTTCCAAGCACACTCTCTGCCATTTACAGGATGTCATAAATAAATGCCCAGAACTTTGGCTCCTGTTTCTAAGAAAGGTTCAGGTGCACTGGCTCAGAACAACAAGCTATTGTTTGCCTGATGTTCCATCCCCCACCGGGAACCGCCCCCCTACCCCTGCCCACACACACACACAGGCCCCTCAGGAAGGGGTTGAAGAATACCAAGTACTTCTTGGGTTTATATCAAATCAAAGGGGGAGAGAAGACGGGGGTCAGATTTACCTCCCTGCCCACACTGCCCTTGTGTGGTTGTCTCCAGTGGCCCCATGTGTGAACTGGCTCTGAGGGGCCCTCCCAGAAAAACTCCATGGTGATGCCATGGTGCCCACGCGCAATTATCGCCTCCTTGAGTTAGCCGGAATCGAGACTATACTTTCCGAGGCTTTAAATACAAGTCCTTAATGGAACCTTATTAACCACTTAGCTAATAAGCACTTTGTGCTGCTGAGCTTTTGTGCAATCCTGACTTAAGGAGCAATTACAGAAGCATGCCAAGGGCTAGAAGGTAGCTGGCAGGCATCACCAGACCCATCCGTGCACTCATGGGCCTGCTCAGTTGCCTGGCCAGGACAGGGCACTGTCAGGTCACCTGGCCATGTGATCTAGGATGAAGACAAGACCTGGTCTTTCAGAATGGGCCTGAAAGACTCCCTTCTCCCAGTTGCAGTCATAGCCCCAGCCCATTGCCATGGCTTTCCTAAGAATAACGAAAGCACCCTTAAGGAGAGCAGCACTGGGTCTCCCACACGCCCTTTCCAACCTGAGTCACCATTGGCCAACCAAGAGATGGACTGGACTTCCTAGAGAGGTCATAAGGAGACCCGGTGATGGAGAACTCACCTCAAGAGGTGAGGGGGGACCCCCCTGAAGCCCACCCCAAAGACCAGTGTGGAGGCAGACATTGCCCTGAGGATTACAGGTTCTGTTTTGTTTCTTGTCAACAGGATGCCTTACTGGCTCCAGCAGAGTGAGGACATGACCAGCCAGACAAATGCTAGCTCACTGCTCCTCAAACTACCAGTGGTAAATGACCAGGTTTTGCTCAAAAAAAAAAAAAAAAAAAAAAAGTCTCTAGTCTCTTATGACCTAGTATTTCTGGACATACTAAATGTGAGTTACTGGAAATAGGACCCACAGTTGGATGTGTGGCAATATCAGATTGCTCTATAAGTGTCTAATGCTCACTCTCATTCGCCGTGCTCATTGGGTCACAGACCAGTATCTGCCCATGGACCACACTTTGAGCAGCATTGCTCCAGCCAACCAAGCTCCCGGGATCCTAAGACAGAGATCAATTTGTAGAGAAACTGCCAGAAAACTCATTCTGGTATTGACCTCAGAGTGAGAGCCAGGGTTTCTCAGCAAGGAGATTCATGTACTAAAAGGTAGGCCAGGGCGCCTGGGTGGCTCAGTTGGTTAAGCGACTGCCTTCGGCTCAGGTCATGGTCCCGGAGTCCTGGGATCGAGTCCCACATCGGGCTCCCGGCTCAGCAGGGAGCCTGCTTCTCCCTCTGACCCTCTCCCCTCTCATGCTGTTTCTCTCTCTCTCTCTCTCTCTCAAATAAATTAAAAAAAAAAAAAAAAAGGTAGGCCATATATGTTCCTGCAGAGGGCTGGTCAAGAGCAGAATTTATAATTTGGGAGAGTTTGTGCAAATAAAAAGATTTGGCCAAAAATGATCACATCCCAGTCACTAGTTTTTAAAGAATTGGCTATTCTGGAGGGCCATGGGGCTGCTTTTGCAAACCTTTATGTATCTTTCAATATTCTTATAATTTTGAAGAAGGTTTCTTATTACCCTCTTCCCCCTTTTGAATTCTAATTATTTTTCAGTTAATTAGAACAAGCTGGAATGGCTGGGCATTTCTGGACGCCATTATTTCACATTACATTAGATTAATCTCACATACACCATTTCCCTTCTGTGAGTCTCAGCTTCCTCATCTGTAAAATGGGGAGACCACGGCCACCCTTGCAGGGCTACAAAAAAGGGTCACCATAGAATCCAGGCCACACTTCACATGGTGTGGGGCCCCCAAGAAGCACTCTGCAGGGAGTTAATGAGTCCAAAATACCGCCATTGGCATGGCTTTACATTTCCATGTTCTAGAACTTCTTTTTTCCTTTCTTAGATGGTCTTCACTCTGGGAAACTCTAGGTCACTTGGGTTCCCTCCTCTGTACGAGTAAGAATGGTATGGCCTACCCAGAATGAGCACACTGGCTTTTCTTTGATGAGTCAACCAAGATTCAAACATGGTGGCATAACTGTCATCCCCAGCATCATCCCCAGAGGCTGCAGAAGATGGCTGGACCCCCACAAGGAGGCACGTCTGAGGCAATCCTGGCACTCTGAGCTCAGAACGTGACCGTCAGTCCGCAGCTGCATGTTGGAGCCTTTCTCACCAGCTCCCTTCTGGTCTGCACTCCCTGATGTATGCCTGTGTCTTACTCATTTCTACGCTCCTGGCACAGGGCATTTGCTCTGAATGAAGAAGGAAGCAGTTTCCTGGACCCCTCTGTGTCCAAACAATGCTAACTTCCCCCCTCGGGCCTGGAACTCAGCCAAGAATACCAGGTGTCCAGGCTGTGCTTCACCATGGAGCTGGGCCACCTGAGGCCACCTGGCCTGCTGTGAGCATCATGAAGCCCACACGGCTCAGGCAGGGTAAGGCAGAGGTTCTAGGACCTCAGAGTTGAGGACTCACAGGAAGGGGAGGTTTCGACAGGCAGGGCCAGAGGAGGTCTCCAGCGCCCACTGGGGCCAACATTCCCCTCTGAGGAGTCCCTGCGGGACAAACATCATAGGACAGGCTATGGGCCTGGGTGCCCAGTGGTATGCTCAGGGCAAGAGCAAGAGAGGGCAAGAACTGAAACCACCTTGTTTGAGGGGGTCCGGAAATGACATGCTCAGAGTTGAGACTCAGGCAGGCCTTTGGGGCTATGACCTCCCCGTGGGCACCCACGTCTGCACCTGCATCCCCTGGCGCCAGGCACTGTGCTGTGATCATATGTGTGTGGCCCTCAGAGCCTTGCGAGGTGGGTCTCATAATCCCCCTTCGCAGATGGAGCAGCTGAGGTTCAGAGAGGCTCTAACTCACCTGAGGCCGCACTGTTCTTAAGTGGCTGGGATGGAAATGGAAACCTGAAGGTGACTTCTTTGCCTTTAGAAAGAGAGGAATCAACATGCATTTCAGGTAAGTGAGATTTCTTCTGGAATTCTCCTCTGCTGGGGAAAGAGCACGTTTACTGGACAGTTTAGGCATTCTACCTTTGCCAGCTCACTGCATCATTCCTCGCACTATCAGGGCTAGCTGCTGTCACCTCCGGTCTATAATTGGGGGACTGAGGTGCTGAGAAGTCCACCAAATCCTCCAAGGTCGGTGCTCTGACTCTAAGCCCATGTTCTTCTCCCTACAGCACCCTGCTTCCCTGAAACACACCAGCACTCTGCAAATTAAAATTCCCCAAGCTGGGATGCACACAGGACACCTCCAAAGGCAGTCCTATCCCAGGAACAAAGAGAAGAACAAGGAGGTTGGGGGCAGCCTTGAGATCTATCCTTGTATCAAATGAAAGACATAGTGCCCAGCCAAGACTCCCCTAGCTTTGCTCCAATGTGCAAATCTCTCCAGTAAACCCTGCAAATCCAGTTTTAAAACAAACACCCCCAGGTAGAGAAAGCTCCTTTTGTAATGCACATTGTTCTTCTGACCCAGGAAGACTTAAACCACAGCTCCCTCTTGCTCCTTGGCACAAACACTCAGCCACCATCTTGTTCCTGCAAGAGCTTGCCAGGCTTGGCAAATGGCTAGCAGCCGTGCCAGGTGCCAAATTGGCAATGGCCTCCCCGACTGAAAAAAGGAGTTAACTGATGGGTGATAGGGGATCAATAATACTACAGAAGGGCTGCTTTGATGGGATGGATGAGTCGAATGAGTGCTGGAGACATACAAGTGGACATGATCCCTAGTTGGGTCTTTGAAAGACAAGACTCTGGTAAGGATCTAGATCCTAAATGAGAGGACCTCAATACGCCCTGTGACCATTCAGGCCAAACTCTCAGCAGTATCACTGAATCTTAAAGCAAATGTCTAGCTGAGAGGGCCATTTGAAGGCACAGCCCTGGCCACATCTCTCAGGACTGGTGACCCAAGTCCGCACCCCTGTAACCCGTGGTCCTCATCTGGATTTGGCTAGGTCTGTTCCCACATGGAGGGGATTATCTCTGGATCCTCAGAATTGGAGTGTGGGGCTCTAGGGCAGGAATAAAGACATGCTGCCTGCCTCAAGGTTGCGAAGGACTAAACATCAGTTTCCAAGTGCATTTTCCTTGCCCGGGCTTCCCTGAATGGAGGTGAGCTTGGGCCCCTGGGCAATGAGAGCAGCCCATCATTGGCTGGGCAGAAGCACTGCAGCCTCAGGCTCTCTTCAGACGAGAGGCTCCCAGAGCTCCTTTAGGACTGAATAAAGTTTGTCACCAGGTTGTCACAGACTTTAGGTGGCAGCCAATTCTCTCTTTGGAGGAGGCTGTCACCCTGCCAGATTCCGCATGCACAAAACCCAGTGTTGAATGGGTGGTGGGGTGGGGTCCAGGAGAGGGAGGGAAATTGGTGGTGGGGGATGGGGAGACTGCAGGGCCACTGGCAATGTCCTCTCGGAGACTGCTTGCCCCTGGAAACTCACCACTCAGTCCTGTCTACAACGGCTTCACACTGAGATCTGGAGGGTGCTGGGAATGTTGAGTCCAGACTAGGTCCTTTTTACAAACAGAGAGACTAAGGCACAAAGAGGGTCAGTGACTTGCCCACTGTCCCAGGGTGGCCCTAAGAGCTCTCCACTCATTCCCGGCCCTACTGGGAGAGGCGCATCAGCCTGTAATTCATCGGCCCAATTACACCATCACCTGATGGCCAAGGCTGGCTAAGGAGATGGGATAAGAAAAACAGGGAGTGACTGCTCTACCACAACCTGGTAGAATAAAGAGTAAAGCTATGGGAGGAGCAGAGGGCCTGGGATTGGTCAGCCCAAAGCCCACCCCATTTGCAGCTCTCGATGCACCTGGGTGTGGAGCTCTACGTGGCTATAGCCTCCACGCTGGTGCGTCTGACAAGGCCTCCCATTCATGCCTGGCCGCTGTGGTACAGAGAACACTGGGCCGGGGGTCAGGAGGCCTGGGGACTGGTCTCCTCCTTGCACCTTTGTGTTCCTATCTGTGGCTCTACTCTTGCTCAGTTCTCTTTCCCAGGAACAACAGCCCCCACCACAACTGCATTTAACATTGCTACCCTTCCCCAGCATGCTAGCTCCCTGCTATAATTTTTCCATAAGAAGTACTACCTTGTCTTTTGATGTATTATATAATTTACCTATATATTACATTATTGTTGATTGTTCATTTCTACCCACTAGAATACAAGCCTCATCAGGGGAGAAATGTAACTCCAGATGACTGATGCACATCCCAATAGCCCAAAGTGCCTGACACTGAGCCGTCTGTGGTCTAATAAATGTTTGTTGAATGGCTGAATGTTCACTTGCTGGCTTGCTCCATGAGTGACGTTGGTTAAAACCTGCTTGAGGAGCCCAATGGAGGAGAAGCCGAGGGCCTCAGTGGAGCATGATGATGATGGAGCAGTGCCTCCTGACAAAAAGTGTCTCTGTCAGACCCTGGTGGCCCGCACGTGCCTGGGCAGATTGCCTCTTGCCAGCACCTAGAGCTCGAACGCCTACTGGAAACCAAGTCAGGGACCTTGAGAAGTGTGGGAGCTTTCCTTGCCCCAGCTCTGCCCTCAAGCCAGGCCACCCTGAGCATGAAAGAAAGGCAGAGGCTAGAGGGGATGTGGACCAGGGCCAGCCAGGGGCTGGGCGGGAGAGAAGCACGGTGTGGGCCCAGCTGGCCAGCCAGAAGCACCAGCCGCTGCCTGTCTGTGCCCAGGCACCCTCGCCCCTTCTCGTCCCGTCAAGGGCGCCATAACAGAAAGCACCCCCCACGGGAGGCTCCTCTCCCGAGCTAGGCAAAAGGGCTGCTCTGGAGCTTTGGTGAGGATGACAACAAAAATGCCCAGCCAGACAGCTGCTATCACATGAGCCAGGGATCACTCTCTTACTGATGAGAAAATACAGAAGCCCAGACAGGTCAGGAGCCATGAGGCCAAATGGCTGACCAGTGGCTGACCTGGAACAAGATGCCGGGCATCCTGGCCATGGCTGTCTTCAGTGGAGCTGCAGATCAGAGGTGTCTGTGCTTCTCTGGGCCACCTCCTGCTGCCCTTCTGGGGATGCTTCATACCCTTACTGGGGATGGTGGAGGGGGTGGGGCTGATAGTATTCCTCGCTCCTTTCTTAGGGACCCTACCTGCACCATTCTCCCCACAGCAGTGGGGGTCCCAACTACAAATCAAGAGGCAGCTCCTAATTTTCCACCAAGGCAACAGCAGATTGCTGGTTTGTGCTTCAGCCTAACAGCATGGAAGCAAATGAGCAGTAACTGTGATGGGGGACATCTAGCTTTCTGCGCCAAGGTAAGCCTGGGGAAGCGAGACAGACCAGGTGTGTTTGGAGGAGCACGGTTTACGAGGAAGAGACCAAAACCCATTTCCCGAGCAACAGCTAAAGAAGTGGGCTTCACATCCATTTTCAGGCTCATCCAGTCCAGGGGCCAAGCTTCCTGGAGACCACCCCTCTCCCACCGTAGCCTGCTAGTGTTCTCAGCATACTTGGTAACAGGAGGACAATGGAAACCATGAAAGGTGCTCCAGAACCCCAATTTAAAAATTGTTCAAGGGTTGCATCTCATGATCTACTTAAAGTTAGCTTCCCATCTCCTCCTCTCCTCTGAACCAACCTCTGCACTGCTACCTGAGTCATCCGTCTAGAACACAGAGCCGTGGCTTCAGCAGCTCTAAAAGAGCAGAATGAAACTTCTTAACATGAAGAGCGGGCTGACTTCCCTCCACACTCCCATAAATACTTTTATTCCCAAAGCAAGCTGCACCAGAATCTTCTTTCCGTTCACACAAACCTTGTCTGCCTTCCTTTGCACACACTAGACCTTTCTAGAACCATTGCCCTTCCCCTTCCATGGAACCCTTGACACTTGGTTCCCATATTGCCTCCTGTGTGAATCCTTTTCAGGTTTCTCCCCTCTGGGTTCCTATAAACTTGCCCTTTATGTCCCTCAGAATTAAGGGGCAGTACTGAAAAGTGGTAGGTTCGCCATGTGAGACTGCCATTTGGTTAGGTCAAAAACAACCAAAGACTGGCAATCTCCTCCATTTCGAGGCTAATGTGCTGTTTGTCCTCAAAACTGGAGTGAGAGAGCTGTGCCACCATCCTCCTTGTGTCAGCATCTGGCACATGGTGGCGTACGGTGGGTGCCCAATTAATGCTTGCTGGATGAGCAGCATGGTTGGACACGTTTTTGTGTCTCCTGGTCCGCCTGGTTGCTTGCTCCAACACAGAAACAACCGAATCCAGGACTGCTGGAAAGGCTCGTACACGTTTTCATCGCAGCCAAAGCAAGCTCCAGATGCTTGTCCGTGCAGGTCAAGCAGAGCATGAGAACATCTCAGAATGTGCAGGGAGTGGGGCAGCTAATTGTTCAGGACGACTACCTTTCTGGCAGGAGAAACAGAGTCAGCAGTCGATGGAGCTTTGGTGGATGGAGAGGAAGCAGCAGCGGGATCGGGAGACAGAAGGCAGGAGGGAGAAGCCGGAGGGTGAGCGAGAGACAGGCCTTTAGAAAGTAGTTTATTCTGCACAAAACAGAAACAGAGCAAACGGTGATGGTCCCTGGCAAGTGCACAGCGAGGCTCACCTCCACCGTGCAGCCCCATGCCTACGCGTTCAGGGAGGAGAAAAGAAATCCAGGGCTGTGTCTCAGGACAGAAGAGAAGCCTCTGTCTTGGGAGCCCAGCAGGACCGTCTGGCTCTCGGATACACTGCATTCTGCCACAGCCATCCCGGCTCCCTCATCACAGCGAAGTAGCTGGGGCAGACCCGCCCTGTTGCTGCGTATGTCTGCCGCAGATACCAGAGCTAACTTCTGATGCTCTCGCTCTGCAGCTTGGTGTGAAGTAGAAGCTGCAAACTGAGGGAAGGAGAACCCCCGGCCGCTGGGGGGCAGACGGCCATGACAGGCGCCTCTACAGCCCCCTGGGACCCAGAAATGAACTCGCTGCAAAACTTCCTCCCCATGACAATGCCTCAGCCCAAGTAGCATAGGACACAGGTCTGGAGGAGACCGAGTGAAAGCAGCAGAGCAGTTATGTTCTAGAGCCCAGGCTGTCTGCAAGCAAGGGTGCCCCTTTGCACACACACACGGACTATGGCACCTCATTGTCAACGCTTCCCTCTCCTTGCCATGCATCCCCTCTTCGTTTCAGCCAGTTTCTAGGTCAGTCCCTGCCGTTCTGAGGCAAAGCCACTCTGTTTGGCTGATGCTGCCGTTTGGAAAAGTAGAGCATGGGTTAGAGCCTATGGCTGGCTCATCATTCAGGATTTCCCCGGCCAGGGCCATGGGGAGATTCCTCCATTGTGCCTCAAAACACCATGCTTTCACTTTAAGACACTGGGATGTGATGCCTGCAAGTGACCAGCTTTCCTTCTTTGTATTGCCTCTTAGGGAGCTCAGCGCCTACCCAGGCCTGTCTAGGCTCTAACAGCATACATTTCTGCTCGTCACATTTTCCTTGGACCTCAGCCTATATTACTACCTTGGTCTTCCCTTTGTCATAACTGATCTAGTATTTTTGCATCTGCTCATTTGAGTCTTTTTTAGATGCCAGCCCAAATCCGTTAGTGGCTTGGGAAGTCAATAGCCCCTCCTGCCAGAAAAGGAGGAAGAAGGAGGAAATGAAACTCTGGAGATGGATTTGTGGCCACTTTGCTAGATGTGCAACATCTGGGTTCCTGGGGGCTCTGAAAGCCCTGTGTTTACCTGCGGAAAATCCCCGTGTCCAAACATGGAGGCAAGGTGAGCCGCCTTCTCCTTAATGTTCTTTTTGTGAAATTCCCTGTTGGCCAAGTTCTCAGCCCTCTTCTGCTGGTAGGGCGAGAGAGGAGAAAGAGAGAGAGTGACAGTGACAGAGCCGATGGTGGTTGCCTCCAGGAGAGTGGCAGGATGGGACAGGAGACAGGAACCCACCCGGAGCAGAGGAGGGAAGGAGGGAAGGAAGGCACCCCAAACACAGGCAGAGGCAGGGCCATGAGCGGGCTTTCACCTGCAGAATCTTGTCCTCCACTTGCTGCAGCCGCCGCAGCACCCCGGAAAGGGCCAGAGCTCCCTGGCAGGCGGGAGGCAGGCCAGCAGGGGCTTCGGGCCTGCCCAGCTGCAGGTCAGACTTGGCTCTGGCTCTCCAGGGCCTGCTCGGGCACCCGTCACCAGCAGACACTTGCTTTAGCTCTCGGAGCACGTGCCCCGTCACAACCACCGAGGGGAACTGGGAGAGAAGGAAAGTCAAGCTTCCTTCCCGACTGTGGCCCATTCATACACCCCCTGCTGTGAGCCCTCCCCACAAGGACCAGGGACCAAGGGCGCAGCAGGGGCCACTGCGAGTCAGACTCCCCCCGCTAACCTCAGGTCCTGACTTTCCGCCACCTGCCATCCTCATTAGCGATACACGGTCTCGGGCCTCACCGGCCCACTGGGTCAAAACCTGCACAAGCCCGGTCTCGGTCCTAGCTGCACAGGGAAGTCACCTAGGGCACTTAGAAAAAGTCACCCGAGTTTGGGCCCAACCCCTGGACAGTCTGGTTTAACTGGTCTGGGGTGGGTACCAGATGGTGGTATTTTTTAAAAAGCTCTCTAGGTGATTCTTCTATGCACACAGGCCTAACATCACCGCAATATATCCTCACTGACTTCGCTCAACCTCCACCACGGGAGCAACACCAACCTCCTACTGCTGGCTAGACGTTTCTGAACAGCGTGCTCAGGAATAGTGATTCTGTTCAAATTCCAAACCCAGAGATGCTCGCTGGACAAAGCCTCGGGCCATGGCTGCCTCCCCGGCCCTGGGCGGGTCCTCGTCTGCTTGGGTGCCAGGGGACGGCTTCACCACACCCCGGCCTTACCCCTTCTGTGATGTGCAGCCAACTGGCCACCTGAGCTCATGTCACCATCCTGCCACTTGTCCATCTATTTAGAAATCTCCTATCCAAGTGGCCTGCAAATAAAGCTAAGTGTCCCGGAGTGTCCCCCAAATGCCCCATGTGGCGCAGCCTGTTTTACCCCAAGCAAATAAAACATCAAGAGCATAGCAGTTGGGCAGATGATGCTCTGGACTGGCACATATTTCAAGAGGCTGCAGACCTGGTTATTCTTACCTATAAGGATGGTCACCTCAAGTTGTGTCTGCCTTCCCAGAGAAGTTACAGTCAGCCCTACCTGGGGCGCACAGAGAGCCACTGACCCCACCCCTCTGGATCAAAGTCCCCTCTGACTTCACCAAGACAGGGTCCACTGGAAGGAGCCCTACCTGCCTTTTCAGAGGAGGTGACGGGCGGGGTGTGGGCTCCTCCGGCCTAGGGCAGCGAGAGTTAACAGGTGGGTCAGAGGAAGTACGCAGGACAGGCTTACCTATCCCTGAGACACGGCATTCCTGGGAGAAGGAAGGTGAGTCCGAAAGAGCAGCCACAGGAAACATGAAGGAAAAGGTGAGTCAGACACTTGGAGGGAGGAGAGGAAGAGAGGCAGGCAGAGAGAGTTTGCAAGTGCAGAGACAGCACTGGGCTGAGCTCCCACAAGCCAGGCCCAGAGGGGAAACTTGAACCCTGGTTCTCTGTCCATGTGAACACAAAGTCCTGGAGTCCCCTTCTCCTGGACAACGTGTAAATCCCAGGGAGGCCTTGCTTTTGGCTCAGACCTGGGGCACTGGGCCTGCACCACAAGAGCCTATGCCAAGCCCAGGTGGCCAGGCCTGGAGTCCTCCTGGAAATGGCAAAGTCTCCTGCACACAAGATGACAGGGATGCTACATTCCTTCTGATGGAAGAGAACCCTCAACTGACACTTGGGGACTTCTAGGGGCCCAGCCTCCAGAAGGGGCAATTGAGAAAAAAATCACAAGTCTCAGAAACTCTTCTTACAAAACTTGGCTTCCTGGGGAAGGCCAGTTTGTCTGGGAGGGGCAGGTCCACCATCAAGACCAGGTAGACATTTATGATTGCCTATAATGCTAATTAACCAAGAGTCTGTCCTCCTCCTGAGAGGAGCCTGATTCTGTTATATGACAGGTGTTCTCCAAAAAAGAACCAAACCCCTTGTCCCAAGCTTTTGTAATTTGATGGTGGCATCCCAAAGGAATTCAGGGGAGCAAAATGAACCCCGCAGCACAGACCGTGGAATCAAGTCTGAGAGCAATCAGGTTGGTGTGAAGCCTGCCCCACGGCACTCTGCCTCCTTCAGCCTCCCAGACGCCCTGGTTGGACACCACAGCCTTGCCGGCCTGACCCAAGGGATTGCGGAGGAGGGGACGTCACAGAACACTTGGGGGGTTGGTTCCCATGGAGCTGAGGGCCGTGACTTAGTTTTCCCTGGAGTGCACAGGTTTTCTCACTCTGGACTTAGACTCCCAGGCAGCCAGGGTCTCTAAAACTCCGTTACGCTGTACCATCTCAAAGATCGCTGCAAATCAAGTCATGGTTACAAGGCAAAACCAAATTCTGGATTTCTTCTCCAGGGCAGAACAGGCATCAGCAAACTATGGTCCTCGGGCCGAAGCTGGCCTGCTGCCTGTTTTGGTAATTTAAGTTTTGTTGGCACACAGCTCCGTAATTTGCTTAGGTCCTGCCTATGGTTGCTTTCACGCTTCAACAGCAGAGATGAGCAGTTGCAGAGAGACGAGAGGCTCCCGAAGCCTCAAATCTTTGCTATGGCCTAAATGTGCTACCTGGTCCTTCCTGGAAAGTCTGCTGACTCCTGATCTAGAAGGAGCCCCCGTCTCCCCTGAGCCAGGCCTGGCTGGCATACCTGAAATCCACCATTAGCCTGCACATTTCTGCTGGCTTCTCAGCAGGTGCTGGTCACCAGGAAGGCAGGTCCAGTGAGCATCTGATGGGACTTACCTGCCTCAGGAGCGAGGGGTTCCGAGAGCTCTCCTCGAACTTGGCCAGCAGCTGACTTGCCATGGACTTGACCTTGTTCTGGCCTCCCCCTTCTCTCCCGCTGCCGCCCTCTGGACTGCAGCGCAGGCTGCGGCTGGGATAGGCTGAAGGCTGCAAAGGCCAAACGAGCACATCGGTTACTGGATCCCAGAACCCAGATATCAGGAAGGGGCCCGGAGACTCGGGACACCGGACCAGTTTTCTGAAGGAGGACGCCAGGGTTTGAGGATGGGCGGCAGGAGCAGCAGGTGATGCCCATTAAGACGATGCTCACATCTTCCCAAAGGAGGGGCACACCCCACTTGGGAGCCAGACAGGGTTTGAAAACGGCCTCTTTCACCTCCCAGCCCAGTGACCTTGGCAATTTACTTTTTAATTTCTCTGAAGTTTCCTCGTCTATAAAATGGGAGCCTAGCCCACTTCACCTGGTTGTTGCAGAAGTCAAATATAATAATGAAGTGATCAGCAAAATGGTTTTCCAAATATGCCATGTGGCTGTGAGAGGTGCAGAGTAGGGGGGATGAAGGAAGCAAGAGGGGTGTCAGTCAGGCAAGGCACAGGCTTTGGGCTTCTTTCTCCTCTCTCCTCTGCACCCCACTCCCAGCTTCAACCAGCCCTGCTCTGTGGTCGCTATCTTTAAAAAAAAAAAAAAACTTTTAATCTGGAAAGAATTTTAGACTTACAGAAAAGTTACATAGAGAGTTCCTGCATACCCTTCACCTAGATGCACCCAATGTTAGCATCTAGAATAACTGTGGTACTGTTACCAAAACTAAGCAATGAACACCGGCACGATTCTACTAAGCTAGAGACTTGATTCAGACTACCCCAGCTTCCCACCGATGTCCTTTGGGTTCCAGGACACGAGCCCAGGTCCCACATGGCATTTAGCCATGTCTCCTCCATCCCCCTCCTCTGTAAGACTTTCTCCATCTTTCTTTGCCTTTCATGACCTTGACAATTTTGAAGGACACTGGTCAGCTATTTTGTACAGAGTCCCTCAACGGGGTCGGTCTGATGTTTTCTCATGGTCAGACTAGGGTTATGGGTTTTGGAGAAGATGCCTCAAAGTTCAGAAGTGCTTGGGTCCATGATATCAACGTGACTGTTGACTGGTGAGGGGCTGGTTGTGGTCACTTGACTGTGCTGTTTTAAAAAATGGGAGTTCCACGTGAGCCTTCTTTAGCTCATCTGCGAAAAAATAAAACTTGGAAAGTTAACAGCATTCACTGGTGTGATGTCTGCTCTCCTTACCAAAGGACCTGCTCCCATAGGCCTCAGCAGCAAATGCCACCATTATATCAGGTGGGCAGTGTGCTTTCCCAAGGAGGCACCACATCTCCCACACAGGAACAGATGTTCTCAAGACAACGAAGATATGTTCACTTAGAAAATCACGGGAAGAGGCAAACTACGGTCAACTGATTTTTTTTTTTTATTTGAAAGAGAGAGAATGAGAGAGAGAGAGAGAGCACATGAGAGGGGGGAGGGTCAGAGGGAGAAGCAGACTCCCCGCTGAGCAGGGAGCCCGATGCGGGGCTCGATCCTGGGACTCCAGGATCATGACCTGAGCCGAAGGCAGTCGCTTAACCAACTGAGCCACCCAGGCGCCCCAAATTTTTTTTAAAGACCCCTAAGAGGCGCAGCCCCAGGGGAAACCGTGTATGCATAGCCACTCTCAAGTGTTGGACAAACACAGACCAAAGTGTCACTCCCCACTTCGAAGTGCAGAATGTAACTCTGCATATCGATATAGGCTTGAGTGGAAGAGGGTAGGTTTACTGGAGTGGTCACTGTTACACAAGGCCAAAGTCGGCCAGGACAGTGGGTCACGCAGACCAGTGCTTCTCAGATACGAATCACTGAGAGGCTCTTTCAAAGGCAGATTCAGATTAGTCCATAGTCTGGGGGCCTGACACTGCATCTCTAACCAGCTGCTAGGTGATGCTGATGCCGCTGGTTCCTGGCCCACACTTTGAGTAGCAAGAATTTGGAAAAAATTATTGCTTAGTGAAACCTGACTTTAGTAAAACAGCTGGCTCAGGTCAGCCTAGAAACATCTCAGAAGGGGCAGGTGCAACCGATTTCTTCCCACACTCTGACTCCTGTGTTGCCAGCAACAGAGAGAGCACAAACACTCCCTCAAAGGAGCCACAGATGAAAGGCAGGAGCAGGTTTTTATCTGAGACATCCTGCAACATGGGGAAACTTCTAGGGAGGAGGCACAGGCACTTAAAGTGAGAGCCAACACCCCATAACCGGGAAAGTGGGAGGTCTCCCCCACCCTGTTCATCAGCCTCCGCTTGCTCCTTTCAACTATCTCCCTACTCACTGGCTTCTTGCTCACACTAGCACCAAGAGACGGAGAAGCAACTGCTCTTGAAGGGATCAAAGAAGTTCTAGAAAAGCTTTGGACAAAGGTGATTTGAACTCATCAGATAAAATGTGTTTGTGCACATTTTAAGACGTGAACTGAACTCCAGGGTTCCATTATCAGAGCACCCCTTTGCCCCTTACAGAAAATGGGGTAAACAACAGGCAGCTTCCCCACCCACCCAGGTTGGGCCTTGTAGCTCTATTTGTAACAAAGGTCACTGTTTTGAGACCCCGTGTCCGAGAGAGATTGGTGCTTCAATTTGACCAAGTAGCCTGTAATTTTCTGCTTTCACCAGAAGGTGGCACCTGTGGGCACCAGGCCATTTGCCTAAAAGACAAGTGCAGAAAACGAAAGGTAGAAAGTAGGCCTAGGGGACAGGAGGGGCTGCCGGTGCCGGGTTACTACTCTCCGCTAATAGTGATGCTGTGGGGATTAGCATGGGTGCCTGATGGCATACTCGGCACATTATATACGTCCTCCTATTTAATCTTTAAAAATCCTGCAAAAAGTTGCCTACACATGCCTTTCACAGACGTGAGCCACAGCCTGGGAGGCTCCATTTCTCCAGGTGACACGGCTAGGAAGCAGTGGAGAGAGGACCAGAGCCCAGTGGTTTCTCCATCAAGCCAAGCTTGGAACCGAGCGGCTCACGAGAGAGGAAAGGAGGAAGGGCCAGCGCTGTGGCCACTGGCTATCAGGCAACCAGCCTTTGTTTAAACGGACACCGTGCACACGAACCTCATCCAGGTTGTTGAAGCCTTTCCGCCTCCGTTTGTTCATGTCGCTGTCTTCAGTCTGGGTGTCCACCTGCAGTGGCCAAGAAAGCATGGTGAGCTCAGGGCCAGCGAGGTCTGCGGTTCCACCAACCGCCCTGAGGCATGGGGCAGGCCCTGCGCCAGCCTTCAGGGATGCCACCCTGCCCGCCAACAGCTGCCATCCCAGGAGACAGACGGACACCCATCACCCTGTTCTGTGAAATGCGATCACAGAGTTCTGTTCAGAAGAGGGGGCCTTCCTGAACCGGGGGGTGGGGTGTGGGAGGGGGAGGGGGGGGTTCTGTCAGAGGGGTGGGAATCACATCCCCAAAGAGCAATCTGAAACATCCCAAAGCACAAAGAATCCCCATGACATGGGTGGGGCAGGGACTGTCTCTGTGGTCGATGTGACCCTGAGCTCCAAGCAGTCACAGCCTGGCCTGCTGATGCCCCTTGGCATGCTGCCATAAGGAGACCCCCCTTCCTGCAAGGAGGTGCCACTGCTCACCTCACAGGTGGGGATTCTCGGGGCTCAGAGCAGCTGTCCAGGGATTTGATGGTGAATTACGCCTGCCATTTGGTCACCATTGCAAATGCCAGTAAATGATATTTTATCAACTTCAAGGGAGCATCAAATATGGTCTGGAAACTACGGTGATCATACAGCAATGTATTCCCAGGACCGTTTTTTTTTTTTAAGATTTTATTATTTGACAGAGACACAGCGAAAGAGGGAACACAAGCAGGGGGAGAAGCAGGCTTCCCGCTGAGCAGGGAGCCCGATGTGGGACTAGATCCTAGGACCCTGGGATCATGACCCAAGCTGAAGGCAGACGCTTAATGACTGAGCCACCCAGGTGCCCCAGGACCGTTTTATTGTTTCCCCATCAGAATTATTTATAGTGCTCCCTCCCATTCTCAAAAGTATCCCAGTTAGACAATAAATTGCATGGATGCCCTACCAATAAGCCCTTCCAGCCTACTTTCTGCTGCCTGAACCTGAACACTGAAGTCTGGAGAACCCCACTCTACATAAGCCCACTGCAGCGACCCTGCAAGGGACCAAAGGGCACAGGCATTGTCAGTCTTGTCTCCTGCGGGAGGATGGGCAGGGCTGCACAGATGGAGTGAGGCTGTGGGCTAGGCTGGGGACAGGGGGCTGGACTCAGTGCCTCCCCTGCGCCCTGCCAGGTGAGTCTATCCTGACCCTGGGGTTAGACCTGTCTACCTACCCATGTCCATTATTTCTGTCATGAGCATCTTTGCTGCAGACAACTTTGCTTCAAGCACCTTTGCCACGAGAGTTTTTACCACGTAACTCATTGGATATAAAGCAATTTTGCCGTAACAGATACAAAGATAATGGGCTAACAGTTTGGTTTCATCAGGTGATTGATAGCTTGGTTTCCTTTCTCCTCTGGCACAGTGCTCCCGTTTTTATATTATATAAATCTTAGCCCTCATGATGATCTATACAGTGGTGCAGAATTTTGAACCCACATTTCCCATAGAACTTTGGGATGTCTATTGACGGACACGTGACAAAATGCCAAGTGGAAACAATAGGTAGAAGGTGTTCACAATGCAACATAAAGCTCAGTCACAAATATGCATCCTCGTATTTAGAAATGGGTACCTCCCTCTTTTTTTTTTTTTTTTTTTTTAGAGAGAGAGAGAGAGAGTGGGGGCAGAAGGAGAGGAAGAGAGAAACTTAAGCAGACTCCACGCCCAGCATGGAGCCCAAAGTGGGGCTTAATCTCAAGACGCTGAGATTATGATCTGAGCTGAAATCAAGAGTCAGACACTTAACCGACTGAGCCACGCAGGCGCCCCTGGATACCTCTCTTAATGAAGGAAGAAAGTTTAGTGAAAAAAGAAAATGTGTAATGTCGAACATGGAGATGAATCAGTGAGCAAAAAATGTATAATAATATGAACCAAAGACCGTGAAGGCAAGTGCTTAGGTACAATCTGCGAAATGAAACCAGCTGTTTGCACAGTGTTGCCATGAATCTACGCTACTTATTCTGAAGGATTCAAATCTTTTGTATTTCACAATAAAGTCTTTTTAATTTTGTTATTTTTCATGTTTCATTATGTCCTTTTTAATGAATGCCCATCATTTTTTCTTGTGCTTTTCTTGTTCACAGCACAACTGCTTTAGGGCTGATTAGTTACAGAGCAAAAATGCTTGCGGCAAAGATGCTTATGGCAAGACTACCCGGACCCTACTACCACCGGTCTCCAGCTGGGGCCTTCTCCACATGGCCAGCCCCCTGAGGGCCATGGAACCCCCACCCCCAAGCCTCCTACACACTCAGGCCCTCCAGAGCAGGCCAGCTTACATCCCAGCCTTTGTTCCACTGAGCAGGCAGAGGGAAGGGCTACTGACCATCTCTCCCCTTGAACCCAGGAGTACAGCCCAATCCGCCCCACCCCTCCTACCCTTGCTGCGCTGCAGGAAGATTCTTTTACCTCTCACCTGTTCTGCAGTAAGAACTCAGAGCCCCCAGCACACATGACTGTGTGCCCACTTGCTCCCAGCAGAAAGCACCTGCTTCCCCTGCTTCTGTTTTCCCATCATCCCTGCCCCCTTCCCACACTTACCAGCACCTTTGATATTTTTAAAGACAAGATCCACCATAGTTTAGGCATTGATTTTTGTTCAAAAATTTGACCCTTTCCTTGTTCAGGCAGCACAAAACAACAGATCCAAGGGCCCTGCCCTCCCTTTAACATTTTTCTCAGCTTCTAATAAATCATTATTCTGTGAATGGAAATGACTTCAACCCAAACGCTTGGGCAAACACCAAGAGAAATAGATGACCTTATTTGCAACAATGTTGGGTCTTAGAGGCGCAGGCCATCTGGGTCCCCAGCTCCACAGCCTGTGAATGGCTTGCTGGCCGAGACGGGGGTCTGAGAAAGTACAGGATGTCCTACCCAACAAGAACACTGCATGCATAATCTTAGGGGTTTCTGTTGTTTTGTTGTTGTGGTTGTTTCCACCGTAAATGAAGACTTGGCTTTTCTCTCAAAGAGCAACACCTCTTACTCTCTCTTTTGCATTCAACAGCTTGGGACTTGACTGTTCCAACATCAAAGCCAAGTAGGTCCAAACCCAGTAGGTTAGCCACAGGCTCACAAGAAGTGCTCCTGGGAGGGAGTGTGCCCAGCACCTGAGAAGACCCCAGGTCCTTCAGGGGGAAAAAAAGAAGTAGGTGGGGCAACCTCCACTCCTCTGATTCAGCCTGACCCATAGAAACAATAAAATGCAGTCTATGTGAAAAGGCTGGCAACACACATACCCAAATGGTCTCTACTCTTCCTTATGCATTTCTCGTGGAAGCGCTGGTTCTCAACTAAAGAGTTAGGTTAAAACAGAAAGGTAGAGAAAACTCAAACCTAGGGATTTACCTAATTTTTTCTTATCTGTATATCTCTATCTGCAAGCCAATGTTGCCTTAGTAGCCCCATCTCCTTGGACTCTATTTTGCTCTACAAAGAATGGAGTACAAGGAGGAAGAAAATACTTATGGTGTCCAGCAAGAGAGAGTGAGAGAGCATGAGCATACACAAACAGCTCACTTTCTTTTGCTCTTAATTTTTTCCTGCCTTTCCCCCTAAGAACACTTTCTATCATGATTCCCCAATGATCTGAAAGAGTCCATACACCAGACGGCATTTCCCCCCCCACACACGGCATTTATTAAACTAACTGGTATCTCCATTTAAAAAAAAAAAAAAAGATAAGTATTTGTTAATCTGAGTATTTATTTGATCAGTACAAGATAACCATGTCCCCATAAAGCCCGACTTCCTGTGATTTTAGCCCAAAGGAAACAACCTTTATATTTAACTAGCTAGTTTAGCCTAACCCTGGAGAAATTTGGATCTGGGGCATAGAGAGACCGGCCATTGCAGGCAACGGTCTGGTTGAGTAGGGAGGCAGTGGTGATATTTAGGCCAATGACACTGGCAAGGGAACTCTTCTCTTCTTCAGTAACAGACTAGTAAGGAGTCATGAGTTCGAATTCTGACATGACTTACTTCCCAGCTGTGTGACCTTAGGAAAATCACCTAACTTCTCTGACTGCATTTTCCTTATCTATTATTTCCTCACCTAGATATCCTATCTACCTCACAAATTGTTGTAAGGATTAACAAAGTCATGTACATAAAACACTTCCTATAAGGCGCTATATACGTGTTACACACTGTTACTTAGGTTAATGCTAGTTAACAGAATTAGAAAACCTGAATTCTAGTTCCGACTTTGACTTTCCACCTACAGGCAGGACATCGCGATTTAATCTCCCCACAGCCAACATTCCCCTCCTTGAAACTGGGCTGAGAACACCTGCCCAGCCTTCCTCCAAAGCGAACACAAGGAGCAAATGAGATATATATGAACCTGCTTTGTACGCCGTAAGGTGCCACACTGATCATGGTTACGGTGGAGAACCAAGTGTCCAATCCCGCTAGCTTGACTCATTTTCTCAGGAAACAGGCATCTGCATTGAATCGGTACTCCTAAGGGACAGGCGCACTCATCTGGGGAGCCCTTCCCACTCGGCCTGCAGCAAGCATCTGTTCACGCACTCTTCACGGCCACGTGATGCAATGCATTGTTGATGTGACTGCCACCACTTTGCAGACAAGCAAAGGAACCACCTTCGGAGAGGTTCAAGCATGTGCCAAATTCCCAGCAGACCTAAATACATATTCATCTGCCTGGCTTCTAATGTACTCCCATTGTGTAAGTCAGCTCAGAATGGCCAGCTGTGCGGCACAGAGGACAGAAGAGAGACCAGCCTGCCAACCATGGGGGCCAGAGGGGCAGCTTGGAGGCCCTGTGCTCTCGACTCTCAGGGACTTCCTTCACATCTGTGAACTGAGAAGCACTAGAGACCTAGTGGGGAGCTCTGGCTGCTGGGTGGGGGTTCTGTGAGAGCAGCTGGGCAAGGGGAGAGGAATTCAGACATTCCCCCTAGAAGGGCAGCGTCCTCGGGTGGGGTCCTTGCTTGTCTTGTTCTCTGCTCTACCCCCAGCACGAGAGGAGAACCCAGCATCAGATAGGCACCAGGCCAGTCTGGATGGAGGAAAGGCTTCCTTACCTCATGCGCCTGGCTCTTTGGAAAGTGTTCGTGTGGGAGGGGTGAGGAGTGGAGAGCTGGGCGGGCACCCTGACTGCTGAGACCGGACACCCACACCAGCCAGGCTCTATGAACTCCACTGTCCCGGGAACAGTGCTGGAGGGGAGCCTGTGTCACCATCAGCCAGATGAGAGGATAAACACCCTGGGACCACCACCCGGGCCCCTGGGATGGGCTTCTCACAGACAAGCAACACCTCTGTGTTGTGTTGTCTTGAAGGAGTGGGCTCAGACTGGGGAAAACAAACATCAGGTGCCCTGAGTGTGTCCATAGTGTCCTGTCTGTGATGACTGCAGTGGCCATAAATCCAGGCATGACCCACATGTCATAGGTCTAGGAGGGGACACGTGGGAGGACAGAGACCATGTAGGTATGTTCAGATATCGTCTTAGGTCCATGGTAACAGGAGATCTGGAGTCCCCAGCAATTTTTCCATGTCACAGGCTTTTGTGCGAATGCTTTTAGGATCAGAGGCAGATCTTCAGGAGCAGACCTGCAGATTGATGGAAAAGCTGCATTCTCTAAAAGTAAACAAGGCCCTTGGTAGAGGAAAAGTCTTCTATTTTGCCTGAAGCTGATCAGTTTTGCTGGGATTTGGATGCTATCTGGGGTTAGGGATGAGACAACAATTTAACACCAACAGTGAAAACCAGGAGAGAGAGATTTTTAAGGCTGGCTCAATAGAAAAATGGACCCTCTCCACATTAAGATGCCATGTTGTGAACAAACATGGGCTTCTCAATTCCCATGTCAAGACGCTCCTCTGAGAGTTAGTGAGGGCACAGGGAGGGCCAGAGAGGGCTGGGGAGAGGGGGTGAGGTTGAACGCAGATGCATCCTCTCAGGATGGGCAGCCCCTAGGCACACCCTGGGGGGCAACTGGACATGGTTCAAACTCAGCCAGGGCCAGGCTAGACAGAGCCTGCCCATGCCCCCTGCATTTTCTAGCAGAGCCAGTGGGAAGTGGAGTGAGGACCTATCAGCCCTTGGAGGGCCTGGCTGGCCTTGCCGACCATTCCCAGAATGTGACCTGGGGCTGGCCAGACTGTTATAATTCCATCATTCTGTAAACAGAGGTGTGGTGAGTGAAAGGTTTAAGCATTCCTCTCCAGTTCCCAGTTGTGGGCTAAGTGGTGGGAGAAAGCAGGTGGATGGAGAAAGGCCTTAAATGTTTGGCTCAGACTGTTTCCAGAAAGGCTGCCCTGGCTTGCTTGGATGGGGAAGCCCGAAGTGGGGATGCTTAGAGGGACAAAAGCTGGGCTGGGGTGGAACGAGCCTGTGACTTGGCTCCAGAAGATGACTTCCACTCAGTGGGACATGTGGTAGGCCACGCAGCCCTCCCACAGAGCCTCTGAACGGGGCAGCCTGGGAAGCAGAGGGGGACAGAGCGGCTGGGTGCAGCTCAGCCCCTTCGCTGCTCTGCTGAAAACCCCCGCAGACCTGCATACCCTCCTCCCCTGGCCCTGGCCTTGCTGGCCCGGTCCCTCCTATAGACAGGGCGTGCCTGCTCCTGGAGTTAGCCCAAAGGCTACAACGCTCCAGGGAGCGCAGACCTCAGTGGAAGAAGCAACCACTGCTCACGCAGCCAAGGGAAAGACAGGAGGCTACGTGGCCCCAGCCCCACCCTGGGCAGAGGGGCTGGCAGGACCAGGCGTGACTGACCACACATAGGAGACTGTCGGCCTCCTAGAGAGACTGAGACACACACACAGGCCTGCTGCCCTGTGGAGAGAGGCAAGCTTTGTATGAGGACTTGCCACCTCATGTCTCTGCGCCTCTATTTTTTTGACCTGTAAAATGAGCACATTACATAAGATAACTTGCAACATACCTACCACAGACATGCCACCATTCACATGCAATTACAATGCCTCATTAGCCTCTCAGTTCCTAAACTGTGTACCAAGGCACCCCACGGACCCCCACCGTGAGCTTGCAGAGGAACTGCTGTGCGATACTTTAAATTCTCCAGGAAAACGTGGTGAAGTCTGTTGTACACCTTGTAAAATACCCCTACCAAGTTATTTGGACTCAACTACTTAGTAAACAGAACTTTTAGGTATTTCTTTTGACCTAGGGGGGCACTGTGATAAAAATCACTGAGACACTAAGGGTGCTGTTAAGTCTGGAAAGTCTGGGAACCTCTTTCAGTCTGAGCTGCTCAAAGGCATACCTTATTCACCTCTGTGTATTTGCTACTCTCATCAGAAACAAACAAAAAATGGGCGACTGGGTGGCTCAGTCAGTTAAGCGTCCGATTCTTGATTTTGGCTCAGGTCATGATCGCAGGGTGGTGAGATTAAGCCCCGTGTCGGGTTCCACAGTCAGTGTGAAGCCTACTTGGGGTTTTCTCTCTCCCTCCCTCTGTCCCTCCTCCCCTGCTATCTCTCTCTCTCTCTTAAAAAAAAAAAAAATTAGAAAAACAAAAAATTCAACCCTAAAGTTGGCAACATTTGTGAAAGGAAGGGAGGGAGGAGGGGAGGAGGGGAGGAAAGGGGAAGGGGGAAGGGGAAAGGGGGAGGAAAGGAAAGGAAAGGAAAGGAAAGGAAAGGAAAGGAAAGGAAAGGAAAGGAAAGGAAAGGAAAGGGGGAAGGAAAGGACAGGAAAGGGGGAAGGAAAGGACAGGAAAGGAAAGGAAAGGAAAGGAAAGGAAAGGACAGGACAGGAAAGGAAAGGAAAGGGGGAAGGAAAGGAAAGGAAAGGAAAGGAAAGGAAAGGAAAGGAAAGGAAAGGAAAGGAAAGGAAAGGAAAAGGGGAAGGAAAGGAAAGGAAAGGAAAGGAAAGGAAAGGAAAGGAAAGGAAAGGAAAAGGAAGGAAAGGAAAGGAAAAGGAAGGAAATTAATGGAACAGAATGTATAAATGTAGCATCACCATACACTCTGCCACTAACAGCCATGGTATAACTGATCTAAACTGCTTAACAAGTAAGAAATCATCTCCACCTTCCTCTTAGGAGACAGGGCTAATCTGATTTACTTAAACAAATACTCAGTGGCATGACCTCTCAGTTCTGTGCCATGCCCTTCCTGTAACCAGTTCACGTCACCGATCCCAGCTACACGGCGCCGGGGGACTTCCAGCAGCACTGGGTCACTAAACAGCGCTTTACTCACGTCTCCCGTGGGCACTCGATCTGGGTCAGTTATCAGCATTAACAGACCGAGCACATGACATTCTCCCTTCCCCTTGCCCCATCCGTGGCCGAAACTTACCCGTGGAGTCCTCTTTCTTGGAAATGTGAGGTTGAGATAGTTATGAGAAATGGAGGATTTGGCCAAGCTGAGGTCTGCATTTTCTCCATAGTTTTTGCCCCAAGAATCTGTTAGGAAATAAAAATATGACAGAGATCGGACCCTGCCACCACTACCCCGGGGCTCAGGGGGTGTCATGGCTACAAGGTCCCTCCAAATAATTCCCTCCCCCTCAACTAAAGATACAAATGGGCTGGGTAGGGGGCTGATGCAGCTCTAACCAGTGACCTCCCAGTCACGGGGGCAGACCTTGGGCCTCACGTGGCACCTGCCACACACACCTACTCACACACACAGGTCCACCCCGGTTTGGCCTCAAAGTGAGAGGGAAGGCAGGGGGCCAACCTCAGAACACAGGACACCAGTGTGGAGAGCAACCAGACATGGGCACAGGGCGGAGATGGCCCAAGGGCGCAGCAAAGCCTGTCCCAAAGCAGGGCCTTACCCGCAGGCCTCAGCGGGGTGCCTCGGAAGAGCTCATAGAACTTGGAGAGGTACATGACCATGCTGAGCTGGTCAGGCTCCTGGGCTGACGCCATCTCCTTGCCCGTGGTCACTGGGGGGATGCCAAACTCGCGCTCGGCCACGTCAAATGCCAGTTGGTTGTTCTCCACAGCGTCATCTTCGTTCAGAGAGTCAAAGTTGCTGGAGAACCAGAACAACGCAAAGTTCAGGGACAGGAGACAGAGGTGTGAAAAGCTGAACCAACTTACCTGTAAGGAGCACTGTGGGCAACATTCTGCTGGGTCTCGCTGGGTGGGGAGGGGCGAGGGAGCTGCAACCCCGGCTCCTGCCCCCAGTCACCCCAGCCCCCTGCTGCCCTCCCCCCCCCACTGCCCCCCCCCCCCACTACTGCCCAGGGAGGCTCCTCCACACTTGGGGTAGGGACCAAATCAGATTTAGGCCATGACAATGTCATTGCTGCCTGGGCTGAAACAATGGGAAAATAATTTGTCTTTGGAAAACTTATCAGCTACTTTATTTTTAAATAGTTTCTTTACGTGCTTGTGCTTTTAATTATAAAAGTATATGGATATCTTGTAAAAAAAAAAAAAAAAGGAATCAAGGGATAAATAACATATAAAGTAACAGGTGAGCACCCATCCCCTTCTTGAGGCAGCCTCACTTCCTAAAGGTACCGACTGATAACCCTCTGGGAGGTTTCCTTTCAGCCTTCTGGACGAATGTGCCCGTGGGTGTGTGGTTACTCTGCAGCCGATCTGAATCCAACATTAATACATGAACTAGGCCTTCAACATCACAAAGTGTGTCCAATCTTCCTATCGACGCTGCCATTATTCCCAATTTACAAAGAAACAAACTCAGAGAAGCTAAGGGACCTGCCCAGTGCCACACAGCTAACTGGTCTGCTAACAGCTAACAGCTAACAGATCTAATTCTCTTGGCTGTAAAATCCTCGAACTGGTCCCCAGAATGAGGTCTTGCCCGTAGTTTCTCTCTTGTGGGGAGAGTGCCCAGGGGTGAATGCTCGATTTCCCCAGCACGGGGATGGAGGGGATGCGGGGACGAGTACAAGCACGGAGCCTGAGCTGCGTCTGCTCCTCACATATTAGGAACACAGGTTAATCAAGCTGCTGACAGAGTAATCAGTGCAAACAGCAAAGAAAAAAACTTAAGAAAAACTCAAACCAAAGATAGACTTTGAGCCAGGATTCCACATCCAGCAGAGCATCCCTGGTTCCCCTTGTCTCCAGGGCACCCCTGGGCCATGGAGGGCTCAGCAGGTGCAGCCTGCACCCCCAACTCACATCAGCTCAGGCCGGAAGCGGTGGATGATGGCGCACAGGGCCAGGCCGCTGCGCCAGGATGTGGTCAGGTCGGTGACGTTGACATGCTGGTAGCCCTCGGTTTGCTGCTGGCACCAGGTTAAGAGCTTGCTGGGCCGGATGTCTAACTCTGCATGAGGGGGAGACAGGCAGTGGAGAGTCATGGAGCAGGTGCATCTGAGCCGCGTCTTGAGGAGTGTCGAGGGATTCATCAGACAGAAGGCATTCCAGGAAAACAGAAAAGGGCCGTGCCATGGAAGAATCTAGCAAGGCCGGGCAGGCTGTGTACAACAGAGGCAGCAGCAGTGGGGCATGCGGTGGGAGGGGATGGGAGGGGATGGGAGGGGAGGCTGGTAAGGTGGTGTGCACCCAGCGGCAGGGAGGAGGCGGGGTCTGGGCGGGCAACAGAGACCGAAGAGGTCTCTCGGCTGGACGGTGACCCGAGCCAGGCCGGACTGATGCTGGGGAGTTACTCATTTAACCATCCCTTCCCTCCACTAGGAAAAGTGTGTAGCATGTGGGGCCTGTTATCTAGCTGGGGAGACAAGATCCCCATACTGGAAACAACAGGGAGGGAAAAGCAAGGCGCAGTTCCACCGTTCACTTTACTGTCCTAAGTGCTCGACACATATTCTCTCCTTTACAACTGATTTGCAGCTGGGGCTGTCCTTGTCCTGGTTATACAGATGAGGAAATGGAAGGACAGAGGACAGGTACCTGGCCAAGGTCACGCAGGTCATAGCAGCAGAGCCAAGTGGGCTGCAGGGCCTGGGCCCCCACGGCCACCCTGCAAAGCAATCCCCCACCCCGCACCCCAGCATCCTAGCCGAGGACCCAGGGCAGCGGCTTACCCCTCCTGGAGAGGCTCATGGATCTCCTCACCGAGCCCAGCCTCTCGAGAGGGCACTGGTGCAACTCCTTAGTGACATACAAATGCTTCACCTACAAGCCAAAGAGACCACGCAGCTGCCCACCGGGGTTTCCCTGAAGCCAGTCTCGGGGCCGGCCCAGCTTCTCCTCCACGTCCACCATCCTTTTCCTCTCTCACTGGAGGGCAGGACTTTGGACAAGGGGCCCCAGGGAACCTGAGATGCAGAGCAATGGATCTCAGCTGTCCACCCAAACGTGGGGGGACTCAAGTGTGAAAATACACAAGTGGTTGATTTTACAAACAGCAGGACGGGGTTTGCAAACAGCACAGCCAGAAGAAGTTAGCGGCTGTGGGTTCCTGAGTCAACAGGAGGAAACTCAGGAACTGGGAACTGAAAGGACCTGATGGCTGGCCGAGTAGACTCCGTGACAGAGGCGTGCTTAGCAATACCGATGCACGGTGACAGTAAACACGTCAGCGTGTGTGCAGATGAGGACAGACATGGCATCTGTTCTAGTTCTTTCCTGTGGGCTAGAGAGACACTGACTCTATGGTCTCTCATGGCTCTCCTAGAGAGAAGAACTGGTCCCACATCGGAGCCAGGAGGCATTGGCGGCCACAGCCTTGGGGATGGGGCCAGGTTTTGCATGACCTCCCACCCACCGTTCAGGGCAGGGTGGCCCAGATGGGGCCCAGGGAAGGACTTACCTGATGGGGCCTGACACAGTTGGAGTTGAGATTTGGGTACCGTGTCCCTGGGTCCAGCGTGTACTGCTCAAAGTTCTTGTTGATGTTCTCCGGGGTGGTCTGAGGTAACAGCCGGTAAAGACTTTCTCTAGGATGAGGCAGAGCCCAGGGGTCAGGGATTGCTCTGGCAGCCTCATCCCCTCATTGCCTCACCCCTTCCCTGCTCTTAAGGGCTTCTTAGATGTGTTTGTGTACCTCTTCCCTGCAGTGCCTGGCCCCTGTGGTTCCTGAGACTCACAAAGTGGGGGACAGTTGAAGGGCTGGAGAGGGTGGGGGGGAGGGGGTGTCCAGCAGCAGTGATGCCAGCTTCCTTCCCCCGAGCAGAGGGCAGGGACACCCGAGCTGGTAGCCGAGGGACCTGTGGTTTTGCTATAACCACCACTCAGCCACGCTGCCTCCCGTGGCCTCCTGTTCCCCGTGACCACAGGCCACCACACCCAAGACCCGCAGAGGCCTGCCCCCCCCCACCATCAGTCTTGCCGTCTCCCAGTCCACCAGCTGTTACAGCCACGGGGCCGGCAGCGGGGTCTGGGGGGGAGCTCTGGGTCTCAGCAACAGCAGGAGAGGCCTGAGAGGTCAGATACCCGGCCCCCCACAGGGGAAGACACTCAGCCCCACAGCCGAGGCTTCCCCTCAACCTCTTCCGCTCACAGTGCCTGGGCCATGCTGGGAACCCCAACTTCGGGGTCACTCCAGATCAAGATTTCTCTTCTGCATTCAGGTCCTAAGGTCCTGGTCCCCAGAGAAGTCACGGGAGGAGGTAAAACATGACACAGAGAGTTTCCCCGGGGATCCTGATGATCAAATCAGGCCACATGTGGGAAGGAAATACAAGAGGACAGAGGCTCCAGGCTCATCCAGGAGCTGCCTGATGGCCAGCCCTGCTCCCTTTCCTGCCTGAGCTGTGGAACCAGTCCTACCCCAGCTGGAAGCCCCACTGTCAGTACTCACCTTTCAGCAAGCAGCTCCAGGGGAGGGGTGCCCTGGTCCCAGCTTTTCACCATCCAGGCTGTGTCAAAGGCTGCCAGGAAGCCTCGGGCACAGCCTGTACCCATGGGCCAAAATGGCTGGAGAAGAAAACATGCAAAATTCCAGATGGTTCTCATGCCCACCCTCCCCCCTCCCCCCAGCCTGCTATCCCATTCTATCCAGCACTTTGCTTGCTGAGCCCATGGAAGCCCTGAAGGGAGTGTGGGTGCGGTGTCATAGGAAGAGCAAAACTGCTCTGGGGCTCAAACAAGGCACAGGCAAGTCCGTTTGCCCACACCCCCCACACCTCCCCACCCCGGGGAGGGAGATGGAAATCAGGAAATGCTTCACAAAAGAGTTGCATTTATGCTGATTTTAAAGAACGGGTAGGCTTCTAATCTTGATCCGTTCAAGACTAGCATGGGCAAAGGCCTGGTGGAGGAACGGAGCTGAGTAGCAAGAGAGAATGCTGAGAGGGGCGGGCGGCGGCGGGGGCAGATCACAGCCCACACACCATGGTGAGCGAGGGCTGGTTCGCCAAGCTAAGTTCTAACTGAACTGTCCCATGGGCACCCAAAGCATGGTTTGGAATTTGACTCTTAACTTGGGATAAACAAACATTCTTTGGTTACTACTTACTTTAAAGATAAAAATGTAACCCTGCTGAAAACATTCGTTCAATCTAAGGATGCATGCAGTTGCCGATGCTCTGCGAAGCATTTTGAGCAGGGGGGCCACGGATGGAAGCCGGACTTTGGAGTCCACATGCCCTTTTGCCCCCTCTCCGATCTCCATGTTGCAAGGCCCCAGAGAGCTCCCCACGTGAAGGAGAAGATGTGGCCCAGCTGAGGGGGTACATGTTCTGAAGAGGGCCGCCCGCCCGTGAACGGCAGAGCAGGGCTGACTAGTTTCGTACTGTGACAGAGATCAGCCCGAAGAGCCCAGAGTGGGGAAAGGAAAGCAGAATGAGCAACTCTGGGTCTGGTGAAAGGGCAGGCCAGGTGCAAGCTGGAGCCAGGATGGGCTTGGCCGACTCTGGCCTGCTGGCAGGGAGCCCAACATTCCCCTTGGCTGCACGACAGCAGATGCCGTTGGCCACACCAGAAATGCAGGGATCTGTCTTCTACTGGGAATCGGGTGGGGTTCCCAAATGCAGGCGCTACCTCGAGCAAGCTGTCGCCCACCAGGGCCACAAGGAGCTGGTGTGACTGGCGCTCGCGCACCAAGGCCGCATTCTCGGAGGCGTACATGGAGGTAAAGTCGAACATGGCCACGTCCGGCTGCCCATAGTGGTTCAGAGCAAAGTCTAACGATGGCAGCTGGTAATTGGTGGCGAAATCTGCGGCCTCACGGGCGTAGGAGAGCAGGTTGTCCTGGTTCACGTTCTCTGTGCACAGCAGCATCTCCGTGTCGATGTAGTCCTGGGGAGAGAAAGAGAGCACGGTGCGGGAATCCGCCCCCGTGACAGGCAAGCCTTCATACCCACGTCTTTGCAAAAGGACTTGGAATGGGCTTGCACAGCAAAGCTAAGCAAAACAGAAAATCAGGGCCAAAGGAATCAGGAGGAACCAAATCAGTCATCTGTCAGGGTTAACAGAGCTGTGATTAGGCCTCACGCTTGGCTTTGAGCTTCCTGGCATCCAAGGCAATGGGGAAATGTGATCTATGGCAGGGCTTTCCTTATCAGAAAGAAGGAAGCGTAGAAATTCCTAGGGGAGGAGATTTTTTTCCTGGCACTAAATTTTAAAAGAACGGTCTCACGTAGGAATTTTGACAGGGAACATAGTGTTGTAATGACCAGCTTACTCAATAATGGTCTAGCGGTAAATGCAGGAGTATATTTCCCATGGCTGGTTCTTGTGATAACTTTCAGTAAAATTAAAAGACAAGAGAGCAAGTAAGGAACAGTGATTTCTTAGTGGACTAAGCTAAACTAACATCGTCCAGACATGCTGTGTTTAGTGGTCAAACAAGACCAGAAAAGACATGGGTGCTTGGCAGTGCTCGTAAACCTTCCCTCCAGAATCAGCTCTCTCTTTTCTTGAGAGGCTAGGGCTGCTTGGGGCTCTGCTGTGCTCTTACAATGTTAACTGTCCGCTCCCCACTGGAAGGAGGAGGGCCCTGGCTTAGAGGAGCAGGATATCCCTCCCTAAGGGACCCTCGCAGCGACCTGTGGGAAGTCTCCCAGAGTCTAATCTGCTCGTCATATGGCTAAGAAGCTAGAAGGCTATCTTTCCCAAAACGTGACACAGAAAGTGCAGATCCCAAGGGGAGGCGGGGGCATGGGTGGGAACCAGTGTGTAAGACCAACACAGGCCTTGGGGTTATCCAGAGCATGAGGTTGGATTCCACCTTTGCTGTTCACTGAGCAAACTTGGGCAAATTACTGAACTTTTTTGAGTTTCCATTTTCTCATTTGTAAAATGGGAATAACAAAATCCACTTTACACAGGGAGGACCGAAGGAAATCATAGACATAAAGTCCCCAACCCGATGCCTGGCACGTGGGAAGTGCTCAGTGAATGGGAATTTCTGTCCCCTATAATTCATGATGGCACAAAACACAGCATCTGGTGCAGTACATTCCTGGACCCACCCATGCACCACCAGGAGCATTTACAAAGGTCTTAGCAGGCACAGCCACATCTACAAACAGAGTGACCCACTGTGTCAATTTTCCTAATAACCACGATTTCAAATATCATGTTCCAGAAATTCTAACATGGTCACACCAAACTACATCACCCAGACCGCACCCAGCATTGGCCCGGGAACCGTGTGTCAGCCGGTGGTGCTCAGGCTGGAGCTCCTGCCATTCACTTGTCCTTTCTCACGCCTGTTCCTACAGTCACATGACCAATTCCCTCCCTTAAAGGTGTGGAGAGGAGACGGGGAAGGGTGAATGGAGAGGTCTTGAAAACATCCCCTCTTCAAAGCATGCCGCAGGTGGGCAGGCTGACGAGTGAGTGTGAGCACTGCACCATGAAGGTCCCTGGTGCTGGTGGCCCAGACAGGAACGCGGGGACCTGCACAGGGAGCAGACCCCCAGGCTGTGTTGGGCTGAGAGCCCATGTGGCCCAGGGCTGCTGGGAGGAGCCGAGGGACCTTGTCAGGCAGGAGGTTCCAGGGGAGTGGGTGGATACAGAAGCAGGACCACTGGGATAGGGTGAGAACAAGGACAAGGGAGAGAACGGAGGGAATGGCAGGCCTGGAGAAGGGAGTTCTAAATTAAGACAGAGGCAGGAGAATGAGGGTGGGGCCCACTTTCCACAGGCACAGGTACCGAAGAGAGGCTGTGTCCTAGGCAGAGAGGGGGGCAGTAGAGAGAGAAGCAGCAGGAATAGCCCAGGTGGGGAATCTGACAGGAAGAGGAGTCGCCCCACGTACTGAGCTAAAAAGAAGGCTGGAGACCGGAAGAGAAGGTCAGGCAATGGCTTCCAGTGAGGGCGGGTTCAGCATCGGGAGACCAGCTATGATGTGTGCTTACCTTGCCCACCTGGCCATAGTGCTCCCTCCCACAGTGGCGAGACCAAGCCTGCTGCATCCAGGATCCCTAGCCTGTATGTATGTGGCCCAGCAGAGGCAGGGTCCCGGGGTAATGGGCTGCCCTCCTTTTGTGACAGAGAGCAAGATGGACAGAGCGGGGAGCCCAGAGGCATGGTTTCCTGAGGAGAAACTTCACTCTCCCTTCAGCAGCCATGGAAAGAAGCCCAGAGGTCAGCAGGAATAGATGGGGAAGCAGATCAGTCAGTCACTCAACACACATTTGCTCAGCACCTCTGTGTGCCTCTAGGAAGATGCTGACCCATGTGGGGAGAGGAAACGAGAGAGGACATGCCATTCCCCTGGGAGCACGACAAGAATGTTAATTTGAGTGGCTTGGGTTAGATGGACCAGCTCCCAGCTATGCAAATGCTATAGAGCTTGGCTGGACACAGGGAGACTCGAGGCCAGAGCTCCTGAACCAAATGGCCGTCCAGCTCTCTCATGTCCGGCCTGGGGCCTGTAATTTCGAGATGAGAATTCCTGTCTTATACCTAGAGGCCCCTCAGCACTGGCTCAGAAGATGCCCCCAGAGTCTGTGAGGGAAAGAAAGGCCTTGGTGAGGACACCCACGAGCCCGGGATCTGCTCCCAGCTCTTCCACAGTCATGACAGGTTCACAGTGAGTCACACGTGCCCACCTGTGCCATGACAGACAGATGGGAGTATGGAGGAGCTTTGATAACTGCCCAAGAGCTGAGTCACCATGAGCAACATGTCTTGACCTGGACAAATGCCCTGGGATGCCCTGAGGGAGCCCTGGTGTCCCAGAGGCTAGAGTACTCAGCCAGTGAAATAGGAAACCCACGTCAAACTCTGCCTAACTCCCTGGGGGTGGGGTCAGGGGCTGACAAAAGCCTCCTCGGTCCCTCCTTTGCAGAGGTGCCCACTGTGCTGGCAGCCCTGGACCCCAAACAGTCCTTCACTGTCTGCCATAGTCCTCCTGATGAACGAGGCAACTTCAAGAGGGGTGCCTGTGGAGCAGAGGAAAGAAGGGGCCACCACCCCCACCTCCCCCAGACCACGTCAGCCGTGGAGTACCAGACGCTGAAACTCATTGCTCACACATCTGCTAGCTGTGCTCAGTCAGCTTCTTCCAACCCCCGTCCCGCCATTCACAGCCTCCTGTCTGTAGCTCGGGCTCTCAGCGAGGACCTGAGCCACGTGGAGAAGGCCCCGGGGATGGCTGGGTTACTCATGTCACCCGACCAGCAGCCAGCACAAGTGGCAAGAGGACAGGCACATTCTTCTCCGACAAGCAACAATGAATAGTCACCATGCCGCCCGGGCTCCAGGCTGACACCCCGAGAGCAGGCTGACCTCGGATGGCACCAGGCAACAGCCGAGGCAGGAACAGAGGTTCTGGAAGGGTTGAAAACCTGACCAAAGAAGCTTCCAGCCCAGGGCCCCCAACTCCATGTGCTTTCTTCCAACTTGGTGCTCGGTTGAAGCATGAAGATGCAAAGGCAAGACACAGAGGCCAGGAAGCCAACAAGACAAAAAAGCAGGTGTCCAAACCAGACAGAAGTTACGCAGGGAATCTGTAAACTCCCCCTATATGGGCCAGGCCCTGGGACAGTTGCTCTGTATGCATTTTCTCATTTACTTCTGCAAACAACCCTTTCAGCCAGAAACCATTATTCGGAGTCTCCAGAGAAGGAGACTGAAGCTCAGAAAAGCTGAGCAGCTTAGTCACAGTCCTGAGTTAATCTTCGACTGAGCCAAGATTCAAACGAAGCCTTTCTGACTGCGAGAACAGAGAGCTCCCCGCCACCCCATGACAAGAGGGCCACAGAGGGAAATTCACAAGCGAGTGTTGTCTCAGTGCCCCACTAGGATGAGGAGCCCCCATCGGCCTCCAAATGACATGGGACTTTCCCGAAACAGGGCAGGGTTGAATGAGACGTGGGGAAGGAAAAGACTCAGCCAATCTCTTGGGAGCAAAGGCTCACACGAACACCTGGGTGAGGGTCTCAGCCCAGCCCACAGCTCTCTGCAGAAACACGTCTGTGCGTAGTGGTGTGGGCTCCTTCATCCAACACTCACACAACAGCAGGTTAAAATCAGGTTAAAAGCACACAACAGCACGGAGGAGGAGAGTGGTGGGTGGTGGTTCTTTCCCACCTGCCCCCTACCCCCTTGCTCAGTTTCCTGCAGGACAGCACCTACTCCTGCACTTGCTGGGTCACAAAGGGAAAGACAGGACATCGCAGCCAAGAGATACGTACATTAATGATGACACCTTTGTCAAGCAGGCTCTGCTTCTTGGCGGTCATGACAAAATAGTGGGTGCAGTCCTTGTAGTAAACAATGTTCTCAAGATCAATCCCTGCAAAGGGAAGCGTGCATGGACTCAGTTTGACTCCCTCAGTGTCTCAGTGCCTCGCTGCATTACAGGTGTCATTACCTACCCGCATGTATTCACGTTAGGCAAGTTTTTAAAACATACAAGGCTGGAAAAGATAAAACTAAGTGCTAGAATTTACCCAACTCCACACAGCTAGCTTTTATTGTACCACAAAGACACTATGTGGTTTTTTTTTTTTAAGGTTTATTTATTTTAGAAAGAGAGAGCGCACGTGCATGTGAGCAGGGGGAGGGGCAAAGGGAGAGAGAGAATCCCCAAGCAGACTCCTCTCTGAGCATGGAGCCTGACTCAGGGCTTGATCCCAGGACCCTAAGATCATGACCTGAGCCAAAATCAAGAGTCGGCTGTTTAACCGACTGAGCCACCCAGGTGCCCCAAAGACACTATGTGTTTTTTTAAATTAAGATGTAATTGACATATAACATGGTGTTAGTTTAAGGTGTACGACATGTTGATTTGATATATTTATATATTGCAATATAATTAAAGCATTTAAAAAATAGAGAAAACCTCAAAGTCTTTAGGGACTGTGGACCAGTATTTCCAAGCTAGAGTGAAGTGCTACAGAAGGGCCAAGAGCTCTCCGGGGCATGGCAGCTAAGCAACAACAGAGCCAGGATTTGAACCCCAGCTTGTCTGATTCCAAGTCCCATCCACCATGCCCTCCATGTGGCCAGAGATTCAAAGAGCTGTGGAAATTCTTTCAAGACTGTGCTAAGCGATGTTTCTACTATCCCCCCTGTGTGTGGGGAAACCCAGATGCCCTGGCAGGAACAACTCAGTTTAGAGGGCTGGGTTGTATAGCTTTGCACTTTCCAGCAGTTGCAAAAACCCTTCATAGGTTAGGTTTCTGCATTAAAAAAAAATGCTATGACAGCTTAGCTCAGTGGTTCTCAAAGTGGGGCCCCCCTAGCCAGCACCATCAGCATCACCTGAGAACCCAGAAATGCTAATGATCAGGACCCCACCCTGGACCTAGTAAATCAGAAACTCTGAGCGTAGGGCCATCAATCTGCACTTTGACGAGCCTACAGGGGATTCTGATGCACGTGTCAGTTCGAGAACCACTGGCTTAGCTTCCTCAAAGGGAGAGAAAGGAACAGACACATAACAACCTATCAGCAGTTGATAAGGGCGTCCTGGGTAACCATAGGAACCCCTTTATTACTGTTAAATAGGAAACAGCCATCAATGCAGAGGGCCCCCAGAGAATGGGAGGAAATTCATCGTTGTCACCTTGTAAGGGGCACAGTGAAACAATGGCCAAGGGTGACCATCCCAGTGAAATTTAAAGGAAACTCATTGAAACATTTGGAAAAACACACTCAATGTCCTGTCATAATTCGTATTTGGTGATTTGCTGAAGTATTTATCTTCTCAGTTTTTGAGAGGAAGGGAGGGTTGAACTAATTCTTAAATCATTCAGAAGAGCATAACATGCTGGGAGAAAACACTCTAATAAAATCATGCCACCGTGGTGAAACTCAGAAGGTCACACAATGAGCACATGTCCTCGTGGCCAGAGAGTGGCACAGTCTGCTCCGTAAGGAATCCCATTTCTAGAAAACCAAATGGAAATATTCCAGCAGGAGCAGTTTGCTCTGTAAGGGTAAGTAACTGAAAGGTCTAAGTCAGAGGCCAGCACACGTTTGCCATAAAGGGCCAGACAGTATTTCAGGCTTTGCAAGCCATCCGGGCCCACAACCACTCATGGGCAGTGACATGCATGAACAGGCGTGGCTGTGTTCCAATAAGCTTTCATTTATGGACCTGGAAACCTGAGTTCTATATAACTTTCGATTTGTCAAAAAATATTCTTCTTTTGCTTTTCCTTCAGCCATTCCAACCACAGTTTGCAGGCCTCCAATGTAGACACTCAGGCAGTGACAAACATCCAGTTCCTGAGCTATTCTGCAGCCTGCAAAACTGACCATCTGGAGGACTTGGCTGCAATATGGACAATATTTACAATGCGATGCCGAATGAGAAAACCAGAATCACAAAGAGTACTAGCGCTCTGCTAAGAGCTGGAGCCATGTAAAAAGGGAGGGTACAGGTGGACGGTTACTGAAAAGCAGTATATGGAAATGAGGACTATTTCTGTGCCAGGTTGACAGTGAGTGTGGATGATTTATTTCTAGCATAAAAATTTTAGGGGCGCCTGAGTGACTCAGTTGGTTAAGCGTCCGACTCTTGGTTTCAAGTTAGGTCATGATCTCAGGGTCGTGGGATCGAGCCCCACGTCCGGCTCCACGCTCAGTGCAGAGTCTGCTTGAGGATTCTCTCTCCCTCTCCCTCAGCTTCTCCTTCCCCCTCTGTTTCTCCCCTGACTCACACTCTCTCTCTCAAAATAAATAAAATCTTTAAACAAATTTTTTTTAACACTGTTGTCACACTGCCTTTCAAGGAGAGATAAGATTTTTAAATCAGGTTAAAAGAAAAATCTGGAATTTACTTAATTGGCAGCGGGGTTTCATCCCTCTTTCTCCTCACCGTGCTTTACTTCTCTCCATCATCTTTTGACCGCCTGACGTGCTAGTTATTTGTTTACTGACAGTCTCCCCCCATAGAATATAAGCTCCAAGAGAGGGGTCTCGTTTTGCCCACTGCTCTTTCTCAGGCCCTTGAGCAGCATCTGGCACCAAGTGCGCAGTCAATAAATATTTGTTGAGTACATGAATGAGTATCTTCGAAAGATACTCAAGGCCCATGGCTAGGGGACAACTGATGCCCTGGGGTGAGTACATGTTTCCTGGGCATCCCTGGATGTCCCTTATGGGGAACGACAGCTGGTACACTGAACTAGAACACCTACACTTCTTCGGGGACCAACCCGGGGTTACTGGTTCCCTCCTCAGAGGGCTCCCTGAAGCTCACGCTGCCTCAGGCATAGACCGATCTCCCTGCATCAGGGTGGTTTACCTGGGTGTCCATCACTGGACAAGGAGCCATTTGGGGAGGGGATGATGTCAACCTCAACTTTGTACCCCACGATACTGAATACAAGCACACAATGGGCATGTTGACTAAATGCTGAGTAAATATATCTTTATCCATTTTCATGTACAACATCCAGAACCTTCCCTCGAGAAGCTCTCTCATCCTTGAAGGAACCCTGCCCATTTCTATCCTATGGAGAAGTCGCTGCTTCCACTTAATCAGAGTGAGTCTCCCAATCCCAAGAGCTGGGAATGCCCAGCATGGACAATGGCCTGGTTTGGAGAAAGGTGAAGGTCCCACCTGTTTCTTCTTTAAGGTCCTGAAAAAACTTCTGGTTGAAGATGAAAGCCACACCACTGATCTCTTCCACCTTGGCCTCAGCTGTGCTGTTTCTGTTTATGAAGTTGGCGGTGATGGCAATAGCCAACTTCCCACGGAATTCTTTCCTTCTGAACCCTGCGTGAGGAAAAAGGCAAAAAGGGAGTCTTTCTTCTGCATTTGGTGTGAAAACTGAGAACGATTATGGAGGAAGCTGTTCTCAGATGCCTCACAGGCCAGTGAAACTAGAGTTCTGCATCTCTGGAGAACAGGGGCAGGCATTTGGAAATGCCAAGGTTCGTACCTGAGGAAGAAACACACCACCAGAGGCCTCAGTCAGGGGGACTTTCTCCATTCCTAAAATCTATAGGACCAGTTATTCTGGTTAGGCTTCTACATACAAAAGGCTAAAGTGATTTTCCCAGCAGGCTCATCCTGCTAAGATTTGCTAGGCACTGTTGCTAGGAAAACCCATGACACGTGCACTTTGAACTTACATGATTCAAACTATGTTGTCAGCATTTTTCATGTTTTCCTCCCTTTGAAAAGTAGGATTATGAGACTGAATTCCTGTGGGATGGGGATTTTAACAAATTTTCTATTTCTAGTCTCCAGTGATTGGCGCTTAGTCCACACTCAGTAAATATATAATGAGTAGGCAAAAGTATAACTTGCAATTGATTTAATACAATGATTCCTTGGGGTTCTTCTAGTAGTTAATGGTTTACATTAAAATTGATTTTCAATGGTGGTGACACAGAGGATCCCAAGCAGGTGGTCACACTTCAACGGAGCATCTTCTGCCAATCCCCTTCCTTTCTAGCATCTGGCTATCCCATAGTCCTGAATCCTCCCTCTGCCCCAGACACTGTTGTTTACTTTGCTTAACTCAAGGCTCTCATCACAAGGGCAGGCTCTCTGGACATGCCTTTGTCTTCAGCCTCCTCTGGGAACTCCCCCTACATTTGCTCACCGCATACTCAAACCTCATGCTGATTCCCAAACTTCTCTGTCAATACTCCCTTTGACTAGAAACCTTGGGGTTTTTCTCAATACCTCCTCTTTAAGTCATTCTTCATTAGACTTTATTGAAATGGTCAGAAATGGCCATTATTGTCTAGTCTAGTATTTCTTAACTGGGAATGACCTTGGCCCCCAGGGGGCATCTTGGCAAAGTGTGGAGACATTTCTGGTTGCTACAACTTGGGGGGTGCTACTGGTGTCTAGCGGGGAGAGGCCAGGGATGCCGCTAAGCATCCTATTGTGCACAGGACAAAGAATGATCTGGCCCCAAATGTCAACAGTGCCAGTATAGAAAAACTCCCACTCTAGTCTACTTATTTGGTGCTAAGCTGCCTAAATGGCTCCCCTCTTTCTCACAGCTTCTTTTCCTGCCCATGATATGCCTAACTATACTCAGGCAAAGTGTGGATTTTGGATTGGCAAATATTCAGACTTACAATTTTACCCAACCACCAAAATGGCCCCATAAATTCCAACAGCACAACATCCAGGTTAGCAGCTTAAAAAGTCTTTGTCAGATATGGGTTATTGATTGCAGGGGTCGGGCGAGTGTAGGGATGGAGAAGAGAGAGGCGCAAGAGTGGGGAAAGGGTCCTGGTGGCACAGCACGTGGGTAGGGCCCAGCTAGGCAGCCCACACCTCCCAAATCCTCCAGCATCAGCCCTCTTTCCGGGAGTGTGTTCTGTCCTCAGAGGACATGCCCTCCCCATCAGAAATCCGCAGCCTGCAGACCTTGAAGGGGGGCAAGCTTGAAGAGCAGATAGCCACCAATCTGAGAGAGGCCATGTGGGACCACTTTGTCCATAATCTGCAGTCTCGCCTTCATACAGTTAGCGCCAATTAGTACAACCTCTGAGTCAATTAATCTTCAGGGGAGGGGCTAGGGGATTGAAGACATTTCTGGCAGTGGCGCTCTTCTCCCAACCTGACCAGATCTTACTCCAAGAAAACATGTTATGCTTCCAACTCCAGAACTCAGAGAAGCAGGGTTTTGCACCTTGACAGTCTGGGAAAAGCTTATCTTATTGCCCAGCAGTGAGTGTGCTTAAAAGTTATGGAAGAGACGGGCTCCTCCTGCTGGGGTATTACATGTGACAGGACAAGAAGGCCACGGAGAGTCTAAGAATGGTTGTCTTAGCTAGATGGAGTAAGTGGGAAAGTGCTAAGTACCATGGATTCATTGACAGGAGCTCAATAAATGCATGTTGACTTTCAATTTCCATGGCACTTTACCTTTATAAAGCATTTTTACATACAAGTCCTTTCCTAGCCCTCATGACAATGCTTTGAGGAGGTTCTATTATCTACATTTTACAGATGGGAAGCCTGACGTTCAGAGACCATGAAATGCTTGCCCTCAGGCACGGCAGGACAGTCTGCCCTTCTATCAAGGCCCCCATCCAGCTTTGGCACCTGCTATCTTGCCGCCATTCTGCAGCACCCCCCCAACTCCCGTGCCCCACCCCCCTCAGCTCCAGGAATAAGAGTCTTCACCTTCCAGCGTGTTCCTGCGGCCGTCGGCACCAATGATGACGTCAAACTCAAAGTCCGACAGAGAGTGGTCCGCAGGGAGAAATTCTGCCCGCCAGCCGATCTCTGCCAGAACAGAAAAATGATTTGAGTTGGCAGAGAAAGGTGGGAGGTCCCTTCAGTATTGGCCAGGGAAAAAGGGGATAATATCACTAGGTAGAGGCACCGCAGGCAGAGCTGCCAGAGGAAAGATCCAGAGTTATCCTAAATCACACCCTCATCTGGAGTCCTTCTGGCTTTAATAGCAGTTCAATCCAGGACAAGGTAAACCAGCAGCGCCCACCCCATGCCTGATTTAACTGGTTTCTCTAAAGGCTGGGAGTCTATCCTCAATGATTCTCAGGCCAGTCTCACTTGAACCCTGTTTGTCTCAGTGTATTCTACCATGTTCTCTTCATAGTCCCCTCTATTCCTCCTTGCCCTCCTATTACCAACCAGACCTGAAGGACGTGCTAGGTGTCATGAAACCAGTTTGGCTTCCCACTTCATTATGCTCGAAATGTTCTGATGGGCAACACACAGCCTTCGATGAGAACATTTCCAGGTAACACCTTGCTGGTCACCCAGAATTGGGTCTGAGAAAGGCGAAGGGCACACGCATCTCTGGAAGTTCACTAACAGATGCTGTCTTGCTACAAAAGCCACGGAAGGCCTCTCCTCCATTCTGAAATATTCTGGGCGGAGGACAGGAGAGGTCAGAGTTGTAACGAGCCCGCGAAGCTCTGAGGTCTCTGACATGAAGCTGCCCAAACCACAAGCCCTGCCCAGGCAGCAGCAGCTTTCAATAAGAAATAAGCTGCAGAGGCATCATGAACAAACTCTGACCACGGTGTGTGTGACTTCAGCATTTACATAAACATACTAAAAGGAAAAAGAGCAACGTGACTAAAGAAGACGACATACCCACCACGGGTGTATTTTGTGGTTTGTAAATTATGCTTCCATAAGGCTTCAGAATATTATATACCAAATAATATCATGAGCACTTATTTCATATTTGCTCTAGAAGCTTCACGTTTTTTTTAACTGGGTTTTAAAATATCACGTGGGTACAACAAGTGTAGCCACATGTCCGTGTGTGTTCCCACGCAGCCTGGAGAGCATAGGAATGAACTTCATCAAACGACCGAATCTAGGTCTTCTATCCTAATTACCTATTACTTTGTTTGTCAAAGTACCACCTCCCAACAAGGTAACCAAATTATAGGTTTAATGACTTAATAAATCCCCTGGGAGGAGAAGAGCAAACCTAAAGTGACAGCATTGGTCAGGAAAGGTAACACATCCTCTGAAGGAATTATGCCCAACAGCTCCCGACAAGAATAACTCTTACAGGAACATTCTCTGAGAGCTGCGAATGCGATTTCCATTCCGCAATTTCTGATTTCTAGACAAAAGAGGAAGATTATACTGTACTTTGATTTTCTTGATCTTCAGGAGGCTCTAGAACCTTTACAAACTCCACGTTCACATGGATTTCAACTCCCAGCATCAAGGCCACCTTGAATAGGATGAGCTGCAACTGACGAATGCCTGTTAGAAAGGAAGGGGGAAAGAGAAGAATTATCAGTAGCAATGCTTGAGTCCTCCTGTATGCTTTATAGCATATAGTCCTCCTCTATAATTGCTGCTCAGTGGTCTCTGAGCAGAGCAGTGTTCCAGCAATGATCACGACTGAGAACTAATTATGTGCCAGCTACTCAGTGTTTTCTTATTTAACCCTCACCATGACCCTGTGGGATAGTTATTCCCATTTCACAGATGAGAAATTGAGGCTCCGTGAGGTGAAGTGACTTGCTCAAGGTCATACAGCAGCAAAACTAGAATGTGGACCCAGATCTGCCTGATTCCAAGACTGTGCTCTAGCTTTTAGAAAATGCTATCATGATGGAGGCTCTCCCTTTCCTGCCTCCTTCCTGAGACGGGCTAGAGGTCTGACAAGTTAAAGACAGAAAGAGGAGTAGACCTAGAGAGTAATGGCCATAAGTAAAGTCAGTGATGAAATGGGTCATTTTGTGAAGGACTGAGCCTAAGCTCTTAGCCATCCAGGGTCAGTGTCAGGCGGGAAATTCTCTCCACAGAGCTGGACTTATGGGAATTCACCTTGTACCCACTCCCTAAACTCCCCTGATGAGTGTCACCACCTCGTTTCTCTACCTCGTCCCCAGCCATTCAGCACACATGGGCATGCCTCCAAATATTTTTCTGTAGAGCGAGAAACTTTCTGCAAGAGGCTGGGGCACTTGGGTGTTAGGAGGCTTCTGGGGGTGGCAATCTCAGTGAAAATCTCCTTCACAGGGGGTGGGGAAGAAGTCAGATTGCAATGGAAGGGGGCATGAATGGGACACACAGACCAAGTCTACACCCCCTCTTTCTACAGCAAATGCTTTGAAATAGGAAAAAGTAAAGGAAATAAGAGAGGGTAGAGGGGCAGTGAGGTAAGGGGCAGGAACCCGGGAGGGAGCAGAGTGGAGCTGAGCCTCAGACATGGGGTGAGGGGAGGGAACAGGTACTCAGGTGGAGGCCAGTGCAGGAGGACGGAGAGGGGCTGGGGCTGGGAGTGCCCCCCAGTGGCTTCTCCTCCCCAGAGCACAGGAGGAAGGCCATCTGCTCAGAAGGAGGAGGCTGTGGTGGAGGTTTGGAGCACGTGGGAGCTGGAGGTAGATGCTGACATGGGACAGTTGGGAACTGCTGAGCCGTGCTGGGGGGCGAGGGCAAAGCCTGGGCTGCAGACCAGGGTTGGTATGAAACGAAGCCAGTCAGCTGGGGCTTAAAGAAGCCAATGCCCCTCACGCCTGGAAACAGGCATAGGCAGTGGCCTGGCCTCTCCTCATCATTTCAAGGTTCCTAATTGATCTTGTTCCAGCACATGGGAGGTGTTCAATAAATTCTCCCTGTCTCCCTTCCCACAGGCTATGGAACTGCTCTTGACAACAAGTGCCCTGAATGTCAGAATCTCAGATCCAGACTCTTGCCAGTGTTTCTGCATACCGGGTTTTTTCTGAGAACTAGGGGTTAAATGGGAGCCCCATCAGTGGGGGCAGAGAGGGGCTCCCAGCCAGCAGGGAAGGCAGCCCAACAGATGGGGGTGGTGCTCTGGTGCCCAGCTCTGCCTCTCAGGAGCGCCTGATGGGAAAGTGGTGCTCAATGTTGTAGTTCCGAATTGGGCACTAACATACATTCTTCTGTGGGTGGTAGAGAATATCCCAAAAGCTGACACTGCAGCCTTCTGGGCAAACCCAAATTTCTTTCCAATGGACTCCTGGAATTTTCTCATGCCAGAGAGGGAATAAAATCTGGGGCCTCTGCTGATAGGTTCCCCTGTATCCATGACTAAATTACATCCTATGTGGCTGCCCACCTTCTCCAGTCATTCCTCTGAGCCCCACGCCCTTTCCTGTGGTTCCTGTCTGCATGAGAACACGGCTCGCAGGGCTCTCCTCCCACTCACAGGTTGGGAGACTGCAGCTCTGACATCTGAAGCTGGGGACCCTGCTGCCTCTTGCCCACTGCACACCAATGGATGCAAAACATTTCCTGAGTACCTACTACCTGCCAGGCACAGTGATAGGCACATCACAAACTTGACCTCACTTGATTCTCTCAGCGGTCCTGGGAGGCAGGCATTCATCCCATGTATGGGAGACAAAACTTGAGGCCTGCAGAAGGTAAGGAATTTGACCCAACTCCCACAGCAAATGGGCAAGACAGATTTGGGGCCCAGATTTGTCCAAGCCCTTGAACTCTCCCCACAGTGTTAACCTCCCTGACTTTTATGGGACACAGTTTTCTATACGAAATGGCTAAAGACCTCCTCCCTGCTCAGCCCAAGAGGGAAGTCTGTTCTCCCACAGCCTGTCTGCACAGATCTTGCCTGGAGACCCAGGCTGGAGTAACACAGAGCAGAAGGGCCTCGGTGCTCCCCAGAGCGTACTCGGCGTGCAGGGCTGGCCCAGGGCCTGAAATCCATGTTTTCTGCTCCCCACTCCTTGTCTGGGTGAACCCCTGTCATGATGCCCTCTCTCTTTTTAGAACTCAAGGCAACTTGGTTCAGGGCCTGTCAATTGTGTCATTCCTCTGTTCTAAAACCTCGGTTTCCCCCAGAACTGGCAGCACAACATCCAAGAGGCGCTCGACACCCTGGCCCATTTCATGGTTTTGTGTGCCTCCCTCATCAGAACTCCTCCAGCAAGTCTGACAGCTCTGTTAACGCGCAGTTTATTCCTGACAAAATCTCGGTGAGCCGTCTGAGAGGGCAGACCGTGCTACCTACCTCTGATTCTATTTCCCATATTTCATCCATTCATCCAACAGAAGTTGACTGAGCACCTACCATGTGTCGAGCGCTCTTCTATGCCCTGGAGACACTCTGGGGAACAAGGCACACCGCAGGCCCCGACCTCATGGTGCTTCCCTGGGCCTACGCAGCACAGGGCCAGCATAAGGCACAAAGCAGGCCCTTCACGAAATGTCTGCCGGCTGAATGTATGGGACATGTAAGCTGGAACATCCTGGAAACTCCTCAATGTGGAGAGATGTGCCCCACCCAGGGTCAGCCCTCTGAACGGGGTGCCATCACTGGCTCTACTCACTGATGTGGTCGATGGAGCCAGCGCAGAACTTTCCATAGAACTTCTTGGCTCCCAGGCCCCGCAGGTCATGGATGGTGAAAGGCCAGAGGTGCAGCACATTGTTCCTGGAGAAGGTGTCCCTCTTCTCCACCACAACCACTTTGGCCCCCAGGTAGGCAAGTTCAATGGCAGTGCGCAAACCACATGGTCCTCCCCCAATGATGAGACACTGCAGAGGCAAGAGAGGAGAGAGACATTCAGTGGCCTCTAGCACTGTGGACCCCTCGTCAACAGCTAACGGGTCCCCTCAAATCAACCAGCAAGTACAAACCAAGCACCCGTTAGGATCTGCCACTCATCCACCCAAGGTACCTTACCTGTGGGCCTAACCAGGCACCGTGCCAAACCCTGGAAGGGATATAGAGGTACAGGGACCGGGGGGAGGCACAGAAAGATACACTTGAGGTTCTGAGCCAGACTAACCTGGGCTTAAACCCCAGCTCTGGCATTTGACCTCTTAGCTTCCTCATCTGTGAATGGGTCTACTACTCTTTCCTCATAGAATTAGCGAAAATAAGACTGCTTTTAAAAGCTTATGGTGCATCACCGTGACCTTAGATTAGGCAATGGTTTCTTAGATGTGATACCAAAAGCACAAGCAACAAAAGGAAAAGGCGAGAAATTGGACTTCATTCCTAAAATCTTTTGTGCTTCAAAGGCCCCCATAAGAAAGTGAAAAGATAGCCCACAGGGCGCCTGGGTGGCTCAGTTGGTTAAGCGACTGCCTTCGGCTCAGGTCATGATCCTGGAGTCCCGGGATCGAGTCCCGCATCGGGCTCCCTGCTCGGCGGGGAGTCTGCTTCTCCCTCTGGCCCTCCCCCCTCTCATGTGCTCTCTCTCATTCTCTCTCTCTCAAATAAATAAATAAAAATCTTAAAAAAAAAAAAAAAAGATAGCCCACAGATGGGAGAAAATAGCTGCAAATCATAAATTGGATAAGGGACTAGTATCCAAAATATGCAAAGAATTTAACAACCTAATAATAAAAAAAGACAACACAATTAAGGAACAGGCAGATAACCTGAATAAAAATTTTTTCAAATAAGATATACAAGCGGCCAAAAGGCACATGAAAAGATGCTCAGCACATGAAAAGATGGCTCATTGGCCATCAAGGAAATGCAAATCAAAGCCACAATGAGATACCACTTCATAACCACTAGGGTGACTATAATCAAAAAGACAGATAGGGGCGCCTGGGTGGCTCAGTTGGTTAAGCGACTGCCTTCGGCTCAGGTCATGATCCCAGGGTCCTGGGATCGAGACCCGCATCGGGCTCCCCGCTCAGCGGGGAGCCTGCTTCTCCCTCTGACCCTCTCCTCTCTCATGCTGTTTCTCTCTCGCTCGCTCTCTAATAAATAAATAAATAAAATCTTTAAAAAAAAAAAAGACAGATAAAAATAAGTGTTGGCAAAGATGTGGAGAAATTGGAACCCATGTAAAATGGTACAGATGCTTTGGAACAGTTTGGCAGTTCCTCAAAAAGCTAAACATAGAGTTGCCATGTGAGCCAGCAATTGTATTCCTATGCATAAGCCCAGGAGAAATGAAAACATATGTCCACACAGAGACGTGTACATGAATGTGCATGGCAGCATTATTCATTATAGCCAAGAAAAATAGAAACAACTGAAATGTCCATTAATTGATGAACACACAAACGGTGGTATATCCATACAATGGATTATTCAACTCTAAAAAGGAATGAAGTACTGAGATATAGATGAACCTTGAAAACATCATGCTAAATGAAAGACACCAGACACAAAGGGACATAGAGGGTATGATTCCATTTACATAAAATGTCCAGAATAGGCAAATTCATGGAGACAGAAAGTAGATTAGTGGTTGCCAGGGGAGGGGCCAGGGGAGTGGGAAAGGTTTCTTTTTATGGCGATATTTTAGAATCCAGTAGTTGTGGTGGTTGTACAACTTTGTGAATATATTAAAACCACTGAATTCTATACTTTAAAAGGGTGGTATGTGAATTATATCTTTATAAACTTGTATGAGAAGAAAAAGCACATGTTATGGAGTTTGGTACACACTAGTGTAGATGCTCTCATTCTTGTCACTGAGACCCAGTGCCTGTCTTCTAGGGACTCTCTGTCTAGTGGCAAACTCAGACTTGTGGGATAAGAAACCAGAACTCTTTGTGGTTGGTTCTATTAGGGGCACAGGCGAGGAAACGCTGACCCTCCTGATAAGCTGGAAAAGACTTCACAGAGCAGGTCTTTAACAATGATCACCATCACCACCATCCTCACCATCACCACCGCCACCATCCTCATCCTCACCATCACCACCGTCCTCATCCTTACCATCACCATCTCCACCATCCTCATCCTCACCCTCACCGTCACCAGAGTCTGCACCTGTTGAACACTTACTACATGCCAGACACTCAGTTCATGTGCGCCATGTGTTTTAGCTCTTAGTCCTCACAACACATAGGAGAGGAAGAAACTATTGTTATACTCATTTCACAGATGGGAAAACTGAGGCACAACACAGCTAGGTAATGGGCCCCTGGTTTCCCAGATCCAGAGGGACAGAACCAGGATGCAGACCCAGGTGGTCTTACTCTAGGGCCTGTCATGCTGTACTATTACTTCTGTCCTACTTCTGACAGGAATAAAAAGAAGAAAGAACATTTCAGCAGAGGGCTCACCCATTCAAAAAGAAAGAAGTTCCAGGTGGATGGAGAGGAGGATACTTTGGGAGAAGCGAAAGGAAGGAGAGGAAAGAGATGAGATTCAGTCTGGAGCCAGATGCTGAAGGTCCTAAACACCAAGTGAAGGAGTATGACCTTGGTCCTGCAGACACTGGGGCCATGGGGAGCAGAGGCGACAAAACCAGATTCTATACAGGTCCCACACTCAGTCCGAAGAAGGACAAGGGTCCTTCCCCAAGGAAGCTACAGCCCTATTAGGAGAGAAGGGACAGCACGGAATGACCTAACCGGTTGTTCTGGGCAAAGCCCTTCTATTTAAACAAAGTCACCAGCACCGTGTAAAGACAGAGGGAAACGACACTGTTCTGGCTGAGAGAGTCAGAGACCCCTGTGCTGCACCCGCCCTACCCCCAGGCAGCCCCTGCAGCACCTTCAAGAGGCCAGAGTCCCCCTGGGGCAGGGTCTAGATCCCTGAGGATACCCCAGCAAGGCAACAGGGAAGGAGACCTGTACCCACACCACACTGTTCAACATTGCAGAGGCATCTGGGAACTTCCCCTCTGCTCAGGATCAAACCTTATCTTTAAAAAATGCATTTCCCTTCCCCTAGCAAATATTCCATCATCCAGTTATCACTCCTCTGGGGCCTCTGCGGTCTCCAAGGGAAAGTACAAACAAGCATATCAGAAACTCCCACACCACAATCAGTGTGGCTTACTGGCTGGAACCTTCCAGGGAGTTTGTGGAAACCCCATTAGGGGAAATGAAGTCACTGCTGAGATACAGCTCACTCCAGAGATGTCGGGGAGCGGGTATGCAAATCCTTTTGCCTCCTTTCTGGTTGGAGCAGACAGGGGAGGACCACTCCTTATCTCACACCCCAAACAGCTCCTCTGGCTTGACATAGCCAGACCATGACGGGCATTTCAAAGGAAGATTCCAAGCCCTGACACTCTGAGGTTGCCTTTGGGGTTAAGCCTGGATTCAGTGCATTTCTTTGCAGTTAGTGCATCTTTTCCTGTTTGCTGAGTCCTGTCACTCCAGGGCCAGGGATGGTGCGGGGGTGGGAGGATGTTGGGGGAAGAAGGGCAGGAAGAGAAGGAGGGGGAGCTGTCCTGCATCCTTCTGTCCACCAGGCCTGACCCCGCACTGCTCCCGGAGCAAGGCAGGAGCTCCCTTTCCCACCCGTTGGGGGGCTGCAGGGCAGTCTTCATGCTGACAGTAGCCAGCACACTGTTCCCCACCCTCCCAGCTGAACCTGAAACCCCACCGGTGAAAGCTCAGTTTTCCCACCACTATGGGCCCAGCACATACTCTGGGCCTGAAATTTCAGAGACGCCAGTCACACTCTAATCTCAAGTCAAAGCAAATACCTAATTATACAAAGGGAGAAAATTCGGTGCAGATGTTATCAAGACAGGCTTGCTGGCAGGGGCCAGGCCAGCTCCTCTCAGAACACACTTGTTATGATTAACCTGGGAACTCAGAATTCTGAGCAGATGCCGAAAACTACAGCTGCCAGGGGCCTGGGCAGAGGACAGGAGAGAAGGCGGCCGCCCCCAGTGTGCCCACAGGTGATGCTCTGGATGGTGGGCTCGGCGCAAACAGACCACAGGTGCAAAGGGTTGTGATAACTCAACCTGAAAAAACTCTCCTCATTTCCCATACCCGTCTGGGCTCTCACTGCTGAGGATTTGTTGTCAAGGGAAGAAAACTTTTCATTAAAACTCAGCCTGGAGGCATTCCTTGAGCCCCAAATTACACTGTATATTCCGTCCACAGGTTCTGTCCTTAATGCTACCCCAGAACTCAGCTCTGCGTGTTATAATAACCCGCATCTGTTTCCCAGGCCAGCGGGAGTGATCCTCAAAAGCTGTCCCCCTGTCCTCCGCACTTCTGTATGCTCAGAGCCCAGTACCCAGCCCGGCACACGGGAAGCCTCAGTAAACAGCTGATGGATGAATGAACTTCCCACACCCTCCCCGCCCACCCAGTTCTGGCTCTCCGTCAGTCACTGGGATGTTCAGCTCATGTCAGCCAGGGTTTATGTCTGCATTTCCCACCCAGAAGGGGGGGAGCTGGAGTCTGCCAAGGCCACCAGCATCACAGACGTCAGCAGATCAGTGTGCTCAGGCGACATAAATTTATGACCCAGTGGGGAGTGGGGCAGATCCAACACCAGCAGGAAGTCCAGTGTATAGATAAGCTTAGTGGTGCTCAGGCCTCTGCGTTCATGGAGAGACAAACACCACATGGAAATATCAAGGGGTGGGAAGAGGGGACAAGAGGACTAGCCCACAGTCAAAGGCACAGATGGTGGGTCAGGCCCGCGGCTGGGGCAGCCTCGGTCACGCAGGGCTCTTGCGCCACCCAGGAGGAGCCCCACAAGCGCTCCCCACTTCTTGATGACCTGGTGCAGATTCCAATCCACAAGTGGGTGGGTGTCCTGGGACTGTGCCAAGAATGTGAAAGGTATTCCGTCCCCAGAGGGAAAC